ATTTTTTTTTTTTTTTTTTTTTTTTTTTTTCTGTATGTTAACATTTAAGATTTATCACTTAAAAATTTACAAAAATTGAATTCATAATTACAGCTTAAAAAGAATTGCGGCATATTCATAATATTATTATATTTTTGTATTTTAAAAAAATTTAAGAAAAATGAAAATAAATGGATTCAATAAATAATTATATTTATAAATCCCATTTAGACATGCTCCATGTTACTTATCTTGAAAAAGAAAAAAAGGAAATAAACTACTATTCCATTATATGCATTTGATGTTTTTTCATTTTATCATAATTAATAACTATTTTCCAAATTTTAAATTAGTGCATAAATTTCTTACCAAACCCTTAAATTTTTTTTTTTTTTTAACTATGAGATATTATTAACTTTGTTAATATCTACGATAAATGAAAAGTAGTTTTTGTCAATATAATTTTTTAAAAAAGAATAAAACTTTTTTATTTTTTTCATTATTTTATAGTAGGTTATAAAAAGACTTAATTCTTTTAACTCCTTCAATTTTTTGAAAAAATATTCACAAAAAAAAGTTTTACAAGAGATAATTTTTTTTGAGAGCAAAATGTTTTCTAAATATATTGAATAATCGAAAAAACATATCCAGTATTTGTTTTTTTGCATGTATAAAATGTATGTTAGTAAATATAGAGATTTTATTTCAAAAGGGTTTGTGTATAATATTTTGATTAAATATTTTTCTGCTTTATGTAAATTTTTTTGATAGACATAATACATTGCTACATTATACAAAATGGAGGAAATAGGAGAAATGTTAGAAGAGAAAATATCATATGTTAAAAAAATTTTCTTTATAATTATTTCACACTGAGAAAAATCTTTTATTATAAAATAATACACAAACAATTCATTATATATAAAAATGTTTTCCTTATCTAAATCTACCCCTTTACTTAAAATATCTTTTAAATAATTTATAGAATAATTATTTACATTAATTTTATTATTTTGAAACATTTTTATAAGTCTTGATGAATATATAAGGTAAGGCAAGATGTTATATGGATTTAATTTTAAACATTGATAAAAAACTAATTTTTTATCAGATATATTATTAATTAAACATATTTGAAATAAAAATATATATGATAAATAGAATTCTTTTCTTAAATTTATGCTTTTTATAAAAAAAAAATAAGCTTTTTTTAAATTGTTTTTTAAAAAAGAAATTATTCCAAATATATAATAATCTAAAAAATCATTTTTATATGTATAAAAATCTGGATTAAAGTAATAGGTTTTATTTTTGTTTCTAATTTTACTTACTCTTTCATTATATAATAGTAACATTTCTCTAATTTTATTTTTTTTGTTTTTAAAAGTGTCATTCAGATTTACGAGTGACGATATAAATAAAATTATGGCATTTTTATTATCATACTCCTTTTTTATTCTTATAATATATTTACTTATATAATAAGAATTTAAGTAATCATAATTTTTAAAACAATATAAATTAATGCATATAAAATCTATTGAAATTAATTTGTCTATATATATCTTTGTATTGTTTTTTTGTTCTGAAAGCATATTTTTTTCGTCTTTTTCTAATGTATTATATTTTTTATTAACAATTTTATTTTTCATACATATTTTATTGCTTATCAGTTCATCTATTTTTACTTTATTACTATCATCTGCAAAATGTATATCAATTAATTTTAAATTTAGGCCTAATTTTCTCACGGAATTTAAAACATTTTGATTTGCAAAATTAGCTCTTATAAACTTTCCAATTTTATTAAATATTTTGTTACAATGTAAATTAAAAAATATATTCAAAATAGAAAAAAAGAAGTCATCACAATTAAATAATTTATAATTTTTACTTTCGTTTTTAATAATTTTATCAAAAAGATAAATAATTTTTTTTTTAATATTTTTATCATTATTATTATTTATTTTGTCATCTACAGAATATTCACTACAGAAGCATTCTTTATGATCAATATCACTTTTTTTATTAACAACAGATAACAAATTATTAATATTAATATATTTATTATAGGAGGAATCATTTTTTTTCTTTAAGTTACTTTTTGAATTTTTTTCGTTTAATAAAAAGGACTCTTCTTTATTCTTATATAAAAGATTATAGAAGTTTTCTCTTTTATAAAGATTCTCTACATAAAACTTATCTTTATTATAATTAAAAAAAGATGAATTTTTTTCAACATCTATTATTCTTTTCTTATCATCACAAGTGTTGTCATATATTTTACTATTTTTTTTTTTTTCATTTTTATTATTCTTAGTATTAATATTAATGAAATACTCTTTATCTTTTTCTTGAACATTCATATTATTATTAGTAATAAAATAAAGTGGTATTACATCTTCCATTTTAATGAAACTTTTGTGATTGTTTGAAACATTTATATTATTAAAAGTGATTTCATTTTTTGTGTTCAATAATTCATTTATATTATATTTTTTTTTATTATTTATTTTAGATAAATAAAAATATATGTGTTTGTTTAAATCATAATGAATCCTTACATATTTTAATAATATTTCTTCTTCTTGTGATTTCAAACGATAATTCCCTATTAGCTTATCTAAACAAATAAAAATAAATGGAAGAATTTCTATTTCATTCTTTTTACATTCTTTTTCTAATTTATTAAATATTTTTTTATTCTTGTTATTATTCAGTTGATGAACTATTGCTTTTGAATATTCTTTTGTGCTCAACTTTAATTTATTCATTTTATCATAACATAAACCACAAAAATAATATAGAATGCTTCTATTAAATATCTGTAAATTTTTTCCATTTATTTCAAAAATATATTTTAAGCAGTCATAATATTTTTTTAATTTTATTAATGATTTGATAAATATAATGGTTAAATAGAAATCAAAATATATATATTCATTTTTATACAGTTGAATTATTATATCATACTTTTCATTTATATATAAAGAAGAAAATTTATATTTTAAAACGTAAAAATTTTTTAAAACAGACAATTGAAAAATTTCATTTATAACATTAGATTCTTTATTCATGTATAAATGTTTTATATCACAGATTTTTTTTTCTTTTTTTAATTTCTCTTCATTTATGTTATTTTTATTATTTACAATGTTTTCTAAGTATAATGGATCATAATTTGTTTGATTTAAACCTTTTAAAATTTGTATTTTTAATAAGTTGTTTTCTCTTGTTTTTTTTAAGTTCATAAAATTTAAAAAACTATAATTATTTTTATCTTTTAATTTTATTCCTTTTTCTTCTATTACTTCCTTTTTCATATCCTTATTTTCTTCTAAATGTTTTATTTCTTGATTGCTGATTTTCTCAATACAGTTATCATTAATGAAACTTTTAATTATTTTATTTTCTCCTTCACTTTGTTTATTTTCATTTTTTCTATATATAGAACATAAATTAAAATTATGTTTTTTATGGAAACTTAATAATATATCTTTATCACATTTATTTGAAGGTGTCATGTAAATATATTCTGAATCATGATAATTTGTATTAATTCTAGAACATGATAAATTTCTGTCATTTGATTTTTCACAAAATTTTTCACAAATTTTTTCACAAATTTTATTTTTATTGTTATGATAAATTTCCTCAAAAATGTCTAATTTTTGATTAAATAATTTTTTCTTACAATTCTCTATGATAAGACTTTTATTTTCCTTTATGTTTTTCTTAAATGTAAATATTTTATTTTTCTTACAAAGGTTTACAATTTCATTAAAAATAATCATACTATCGTTTTCTCCTTTCTCTCCTGTTATAAATTCATTTATATTTTTTTTTTTTGAGTTTTTAGATGTATGTAAAAATTTTGAAAAAGACATAACACTTTCTTCACTAGATGTATAATTGTATAAAGGATATGAAAAATTAGAAAAATAGGTAAATGAATTTTTTTTTTTTCTTTTTTTTTTTAAATTGATTTTTTCTTTTTTTAACTTTGAATCTTTTTTTTTAATACATATATTGTCATATTTTTCAATTTTTTTATTATTTTTTTTTGGTAATACTTCAACAATGCTATTATTCATAATATTATGGTTCTCATTTATATAATCTTTAGATATATTGCAATCGTATATATTATTTATTCCACTTTTTAAATGTTTATCAAAGCAAATAATTTTATTATAATTTAATTTAGGTATATAAAACTCAAATAACTCATTTTGTAGTTTTGTATAAGCTATATAAGTAGATATTATAATGTTAGAGTCGTCATTTATATGATTTCTAATTTCATTATTTATATTTGAATAGAACTTTTCCTTATAATTTATTGCTATCTCATGATTTCTATTAATTTTCTGCTTTTCATTTTCTTTTGTGTTTATTTCATTAAGTGTTCTTTTATTTTTGTTTATAAGATTTCTTTTTTCATTTATTAAATTAAAAAAGTATATATCTTTTTCAAAATTTTTTATAAAATTTGTAGAACGATGTTTTTTATAATCATTATAAAAAAAATCACAGTAATACAAAAAATGTTTATATATATATGATATGGAAAAACATGATTTTTTGTCGTTTTCAATATTTTCATTTTGAACTAAAACTGTTAAATAAGAGTTTTCAAAATCATTACATTTGAAACTATTAAATTTTAAATTGTCTGTAAAATCATACAAATTATTATTATTATCTGTTTGTTCATTATTAGATTGACACTTTTCATTAAAATTACAGAATAGATTAATGTCTTCTTCTTCACAAACAAAACTTAAATACTCTAATTTTTTTTTATCTATAGCATAATCATTGTATTTTTTTTTTTTTTTTTTAATTTTCTCTTTATTTAAATTCTCATTCATTTTTATGTATATATAATATATACATATACTGTTATTTAAATTATATACATTTATTAAAATATTATAAGACAATATTTTCTATAAAAAGGAAATCATCAAAGAAAAAATTAAAGTAAAAATAAACATGTTCTACTAAAATATTAGTGAATATATATATATATATATATATATATATATATATGTATTAAAATTTTTTAAAAGAGAAATATTTAAAAATAATATAAAAAAAAATTATACGGAATTAAAACATTTTATCAAATGTATTTTTTCTTAATAGAAATTATTTTCATTTATATTTGTAAAAAAAAAAAAAAAAGGATTTTACATTTATTTTTTTATCTTTAATATCCGCGCTTTTTAATTATGATAAATTTATTTCTTATATATTTAAAAGAAATAATATATTTGTAAAATTATTAATAAAATCTTATAATATGTACATATATCATTATTAAAAAAAGAAAAAGAGGATAAAAATATAAGCATATAAACTTTTGTATATATATATTAACACTTGTAAAAAAAAAAAATTGGCATAAAAATAAGATTTAAAAATATAGATATTTATATATATATTTATATATATATAATAAGAATAAACATATTAACATATGTAAATAAATGAAAAAAAATATTTAATATTCTTATATAATTTATAACATATACTATCATAAATGTGCACAAATATATTATAAATAAAGAGAGGAAATTTATTTTTTTAATAATCAGGACATTCTATATTATGATATAGATGTGAAGAAATTCCTCCTAAATTAAAAAAATATATAATCATTTTATAATAATTTATTATTATGATTTTTATTATTTTTTTTTTTTTTTTTTTTATAATATTACCATTATTATATGAAAGTAGATGGGTAATAAAATTCTACATATGAAAAAAAAAAAAAAAAAAAAAAAAAAAAAAAAATTATAACTTCTTTGGATGAATTATCCTGTTGATTTCTTTAATTTTTCTTTTTGATAACTTTCTTTTAGAAGTTTATGTTTAGCCATAAGATTAAGTGAAGACATAATAAATGGATAAAAATTAAAAAACTTGAAAGTGAGTTCTTTGTGCCACAACTTTTTCATTTCTATTTGTTCATTTAAAAGATTTTCTAAATAATTAATTTCTAAGGTTGATTTTTGTAAAATACGATTTAATTCACTTAAATCATTAGGTAAATCCTCTATAGTAGGTAAATTCGAAAAACTAAAATCATCTTCATTGATTTCATCAGTTAATTCAATATTTTCTCCTAAACCTATTAATTTAATATTTGTTCGTTGTCTGATAATCCTATGAATGTTTATGAAATTTTGAATTATATACTCCTTATCTTTAATTACAGTTAAAATATTAAATCTATTATCTTTTTCATTTTTAGAATTACATATTCTTTCTATTTCTTTTTTAATATCACCCCTAACAATATCTATCCAATCCTTATTTAGTTCAGTATCTTCATTTTTAATTAAAACAGGTCCCTTTTGTAAACCATCTAATAAATACACCGATTTATCATATTGAATATATGAAACAAAATGAAAAGCATCGGTATTTTTTTTATCGTCATAAAAATCTTCTTTATCTATATATATAGGAACTTTATAAGAATTATGAATATTACGAAGAAAGTTACAATTTGATAATGTTAACCCTTTCATAGAACTATCGAAATGTTTACTAAAATTTTTCATATTTTTTATTTCTTCATTTAATTCAATATCTTTATTTAAAACAATTGATAATATAGCTTGAGTAGCACAAGCGTTTGGTATAACTTGTTTTGCAAAAAATAAATTTTCAGGTACATTATGTTCAATATATTTATCATTATTATAATCATTTCCAATGTTAAATAAAAATATAATTCCATATATATATGTGTTATTCTTTAATAATTTATTATATTTTGTTTCTATACACATATCGTTATAAAATCTTTGTTCACTCTTTTTTTCATTAATTTTTTCTAATTTTTCTTTTTCATTCTTATATTCTTCTATACTTAAAATATGATTAATATTTATTTCTTCTTTATTAATTATATAGTCATCAAAGTATTCTAAACCATAAACATCTTCTACTGAAATACTTTTAGCTCCCATTTTTTGCAGCATATCATAAAAAATACAGGGATTACTTTCAATTAAACACCATTCACTAATATTTTCATTTTCTTGCGACATTTTTTTATTATTTTTTTTTTTAAAAAAAATAATCTTTAGATAAATCACAAAAATATAAATTGTATACGTAAGTTAAAAATATTCAAGGAAAATACAAAATAAATAATTATTAAAATACATAAAAGAAAAAGTAAAAAAAAAAAAAAAAAAAATACAACAAAATTAACATGAAATTTAGTTTTTAACGAAAAAAAAAAAAAAGAAAAAAAAAAAAAAAAATAGAAAAATCAAGTAGGATAATTAAATAAAAAATATTAACATTTAATATAATATGAATAATAAGGATACAAATGTGTTATAAAATGGGAATTATTATTCATTTATGAAATATTACATTCTTAAATTTTTCATATATTTTTAAGGTTTAAAAAATAAAAAGAACATTTTAACTATAATAATTGATATACATTTACATAAAGTAGACCTTTTTTATATTAATTTTAAATTAATAAAAAAATATTTTATAAATAATGAAGCTATTATAAATTTAAGTACAAACCTCAAGGAAATTAATACATGCAACAAATTAGAAGAAAAAAAAGAAAATATAAAATATGTATTTTGATATAAAAAAAAGTAAAATATGAAATGAAACATATATAAAAAAAAAAAAAAAAAGCATATGGAGGTTATTAAATATTTACGGTAAACTATATATAATTATAATGTTAAAAAAAAAAAAATTATTTCTTTTATTAATTTTATTTCTTTTATTTATTTTATTTTAGTGTCTAATCTAATCATAAAATAATTATTTTATTATGTATTACAGATAAAAACTAAAAATTTAATTGAATTGTAATATATATATATATATATATATATATATATATATATATATATATATATATTTTTTTTTTACCTATGTGGTTAATGAAAATAGAATTTGTATTTTTAAAAAAATTTTATGTATAATTCTTTTTTTTATATTATTATGTGAAATACTATATTATTTTAGTATAAAAATTTTTATTTAAAATAAGCTATAATAATACAAATATGTATATAGGAAAAATTACACTTTTTTTTTTTAATAAAAATTTCATAGATATAAAAATATATATATGTAAATTAATTGTAGAATTTTTCTTTAGAAAATAAATATGACCAATAGTTTTTACAAAAACTTTCAATTTTTACTGGGAAAATTTTAGCATATTAACAGTTTTTTTTAATAAATAAAAATTTATGTTTTTCTTAACAGTTAATAAATTCATATAGATTATAACTAATTAAAGACACAACTAAATGTTTAATATACCAAAAAAAAAAAAAAAAAAATAACATAAAATAATGAATATTAAAAGAATTTTAAAGAGATTTTTTAAGCCTATTTAAAAGAAAATTAAAGTGTTTATATATATATAAAATTGCTTTAAATATCTAAATACTATTTTGTAAAAATGAATTTTTATATATATTTAAGTTGAATTATAAATAATTCTTATTTTTCTCCACATTTTAAGTTATTTTGTCTTTTGTAGTTAATATTCTTAAAAAAATTATCATCCCTAAAAATTCATCTTACTTTATTATACTTATGTATACAATAAAGTTATCTACATTATATTTCATTTAAAAAAAAAAAAAAAATAGAGGTAAGTAAATTTATCTTATGTATTTTTTTTTTATTCATTTATACTTATACGCTTTAAATTTTTATAATTTTATTATTTTTGTGATAACTTTTGAAGAAATGAAATTTTTTCTGTACACCTTATATTTATTTATTAGCTATAATGTATAATAAATATTACATACATCAAAATTTCCCTTTAAAACTTCTTTCCATATATACTTAATTTTTATTTATATTTTCTTTTATATAGTTCTTATAAAACACAAAATTTTGTGTGTTTCGTTATATACGTTTTTGACATTACGTAAATATTTCACCTTAATTACTTTTATTAAAAATAATTAATAATTCGTAATATTTCAATTTAAATAAAATCGAAGTAAACAAAATCGAAATGAAAAAAAAGTGTTGTATATAATCATACATGTTGCTATAAAGAATTTAATATTACATTTCATAATAGTATTTATAAAATAACAAAAAAAAAAAAAAAAAGAAATGAAAAGAAAATTTATTCAAAATAGTAATTTATTCTGTTGAAAAAACATTAGGCAACTGAAATTAATATTTATTCTTTCTTTTTTCCTTAAATTAATTGTTAATTCATTTATTTATTATTTACTAAGATTATAATTATTTTTTTTTTTTTTTTCCCAACAATTTTGTTAGCTACTTAAAATACGTTTGTAATTTCTCAAATAGCATAATAAAAAAAATAATGTTACAAAATAAAATATGTATATAATTAACTTCAAGAAAAAAGAAAGAAAATTAGCACATTCTGTTTATTAGTATTTTAATTATTAACATTTTATATGAACAAGGAATTAAAAAAAAAAAAAAATAATGTATCTACTTTTTTTTTTTCATTTCAGGATACATTAATACCTTAAATGAAATATTTAATAGTTAATAAAAATAAAATTTCTTATTTTATACTAAAATTATATATGTTTTTAATAAAGTTGAACTTTATATAACCTTTTTTTTTGTTTCATTTATACCTACAAATTATACATATATAAGGAAATAACTAATGTGTAAATGAGAATAAATTATATAGCTATATTGTTCATAAAGGCAAAATGCAAGATATATAAAAAAAAAAAATATAACATATTTTGGATAAAATTAAATTTTTTATATAAATATTTTTTAATACTTATTAAAAAATTATAAGATTAAACACAATTGTTTATAACAATTTATATTTATTTGCATCAAGAAAAATCAGTTAATTTTAGTACATTTTAAAATAAACTTTTTGTATATTTCTAATTGAACACATATTTTACTTTTTTATATTTTTCATTTTTGGTTCATTTATAACAGAAATTATGAAAAGACAAAAACTAAGTCAAAAGACAGATGAATTATCATCAATTTATTAAATACATAGGAATGTAAAACATATTAATAAGAAAAATTATAAAATTTAAAAGACTTATTTTTTTTCCTTTTTACTCTATATAAATGCATAAATGTGTAACCAATGAATGTTATATCTACTTTTTTTTTTATCATTATACATAAATATATATATATATATATTTATATAAATATTTTTTTAAATTTTTAGTTAAATTCATATTACAATATTGATTGTAAGAAAAATCCTCAAGAGTGATTATCATCCATAATTTTAAAATTATGATTATTTATTATCCCATTAAAATTCATAACTCTCAATATATTATTTAAATAATTTGAGAGATATAATAAGAAAAAAAAAAAAAAAAAATTCATTAAATAAAAAAAAAAAAAGTTTACAAATAAAGGAAATAAAAATAAAAGATTATAGGTATATTTAACGCAATCTTTTTTAATTTTTTGAAATTAAATGAAAATATTGTAAAAAATTTATGTTTTTACAAAAACATTATTATCAAAAAAAAAAAAAAAAAAATAAAGATAAAAATAAAAATAAATTCTGCTTAACAGCGTCAAACAATAACATTAATCCTTAATATGAGAAAAAAAAATGATATTAGGAAATTTTGTGAAAAATCATTTACATAGTTTAAAATAAAAATGTTCTGTAAAAATAAAAAGAAAATTTTTTGTGCTTATATATATGTATATTTTTTTTATAAATAAAATATAAGGAAATTAAAATGTCTGAGTATAAAATTAGAAGTGCTTATTTTTCTAATAAAAATAAAGTTATTTTGTTAATATGTGTAATTTTTTTCTCTTTTTCTACTCACGTATTTAAGAATTTGCTTCCGTTTTTATTTATGCTAACAGATACACAAAATGAAAGTAAAATAATTAATTCAGTTGTTAAAACAAACAATTTGTATAGTGGTGATAGCCTTGATGATTATAAAGAAAAATATCCTAATGAATTAAAAAAAAATGGAAAATTATCTTACAAAAACTTTTTTTTAAAAAATAAAATGGAATTATTACATAGTAATTATATTGATAAAATTGAAAATAATAATTTTAGTGAAGAACAAAGTGATATCAATAGTAAATCCATATACTTATATAGTAATATTTTATCTTTAATATATTTTAGTTCACTAATGACATATTTCCTTATTTTATTTTTTGATTTAAGTAAAAAAAATTATATATTAAACATTTTTTATATTGTCAATTTGATTTCTCACTGTTTTATTTTTATAATTTTAAGCAACATACAAACATATAATTCACATTTAAATAGTAAATTATATATAGATAAAAATGGAGTTAATCTTTTTAATTCACAAAAGTCTACGATGCAGAAAATTCACCCCAATATAAAAAAAGACATTAATCTCATTTTTAAAAATAATTTAAAAAATAAACTAAATTTCAAAAATTTATACATCACAAATAACTTTGAAAATCTTTTCTTTCCAGATAAATATTTTTTATTTATAATGCAGCTTGACGATATTTTATTTCATCAAAATAAATCAAAACATTTAAGGGAATTTAATAAAGAGAGTAGTGAAAATAAAAATAAATCTATAGAAAATACTTATAAAAAAAATTATGAATTTGTAAATCAAAAGTATAACATAAATGGATATTCATTTTTTGAAAGTGATAAAATATATTACAAAAAATATTTGAAATTTTTATATTTTTTTATAATAGTAAGTTCTATATGTAGTGGATATTTAAATATTTACCAAAAAAAAATTTTATATTGTGTGTTCTATATAAACATTGGTGTAATAACATCATTTTTGATTTTAATGAATAGCATTTTTAAATTGTTAGCTCATTCCTTAAATTATCTTTTATCAAATACGACAAATGGAAAGATTAGTGATTACATAATTTTATTTTTGTTTATAGATATATTTGGTTTAATAATTGTTTTAATTTTCACATATAAATGGTCTAATCAAAAAATTTTATGGATTAATTTGCATAAAATATTTTATAATTATCAATACATTTGCTTTTATTGTAATAATACATATTATATATATACAGTAGATAAAAACATAGACAATATTTTAGTGAATATAGATTTATGTGCAGATAAAAATATTGATATAAGTTTTTGTGCTTACACAAACTTAGAAAAATCAGTTTTTTATGAATACTTTATTTTAAATAAATTCAGAAATAACAAATTGAGAATTATTGAAATAAAAGATAAAAATTTAAAAATAAATACTACTTATAAAAGTAAAAACAATATGAATGAAAACAAAATGGAAAAAGAAAATAAAGGAATACAAAAAGGTAAAATTGATTCCTATAAAAGAAAACAAAATCATAGCCTTACTATGAAGCCATATATTATTTGCATAGATGCAGTAACCAATTTAATTACTCAAAATCAGAATCTTTATAATAAATTAGATAAAGATGATAATAACAACAATATAACAGAATTAAATATTAATAATAATATAAATAGTGAAATATTAGATAATTATAAAATAAGTAACGAAGACATGTGTTATGATAATAATTATGTAAACGATCAAATTAGAATACAGGATAGTTTAAATAAGCATTCATTAAATGGACAAAATGATCTATCTTCTTTTCCTGAAAATGAAGCTATTAATTCAAAATGTATAAATTATGGTAAAAGAAGTTTATTAAGTGATTCGGTAAATTTTTTAAGTATAAGTGATATAAAGAAGAAAGATGATAATAATAATTTTTACAATACAGGAGATTATTTTAATGAGATGGAAAATAAGTCTGTACTAAATAATATTGCGGAAATGAAAGAAGAGAAAAACATTAAAGAAAAAGAAGAAAAGGTTGTAAAAAGCGAAGAAATTTTAAAGGAACCTAAAAACAATATAGAAACAAAAAATCCAAATTTTAACACTAACTCAAAATTCATCGTTAAAAATGATTCAGATTATTCCAATAAAAGTGAGGATTATAGTTCAAAAATAATTAATACAAATGAAAATATAAACTATAAAAATGAAGATAAAAAAAAAAAAAAAAATATTTTTTTAATTCCCAATTATGAAGAGACAGATAAATATTTAGATTATGACGAAGTGGATTCCCCTTCTGATAATAATGGATTTTCATTATTTTATAATAAAGACAAAGAAAAAAACAATATTAAGAATGGCTTTAACATCTTTCAAAAAATTAAAACATTCTTGTCATCATTTACTTTTTTTTTCTTTTTTTTTATATTTATTTATGCCTTTTTATTATCAATAATTCATATATTTATCAACTATTTTTTTTATATATATTTGTTTGTATATAATATAAATATTTATATATCAAATGTTTACACAATTATTATGGCTTGTGTATCATTGATTGCTATACCTTTTTCTGGATACATTATAGATAACATAGGATCCTTTCTATCTCTTCTTTTATGTTCATCTTTTTTTATTTTAATAGCTATATCAGGATCTATATATTGCTATAAATTTAATTTAAGTAAAATCAATATCCATAAATTGTTATCTATAAGATATATGTATTTATAATTATATGTTTTTTTTTCTTTTTTTTTTTTCATCATATTTTAAACTTCAACACTTTTATGTAATATTTTTTTTTTTTTTTTATATCAATATACTTATTATTTATATTTATTCATTATCATATAATGTTTTAATATAATAACATATATCTTTTTTTTATATTTTCAGATTCCGAAGTATTAGCTTTCTTGTTCTTTAATTTAATAGGTATAAAAATATTTAAAAAAATATAATGAGTAATATTTTTAATACATGAAAACCTTTTTGTAGGATACATTAAAGATATAAACATATTAGAAATTTTATTTTTTTTTTTATAAATATCATAATAAATAACTTTATAATTCCTTAATTTTTACAGGTATAAGTCAATCTATTATTCCCACAGTTATTATTTCCCAAATACCTACTCATTTATGGTTTGCAATAAAAAAAGAGAAATTTCTTTTTGTTCATTACATAAAAATATATAACAATTCATATATATATTATCTAATCTATATTTTTAAGATGTATTAAAATGATCGAATATAATTTTTAATCGTATTTGTTTCTCTTTATTTTTATTTTAAAGCGTAAAAAATAATGAAAGTATTACTTCTGCTTTCGCTATATTTGAATTGGTGTCAATGATTATTATAAGCCTCAATAATTATATATTTGGTTCTTTTTTGATTAAAAAAGGTTATCTAAAATTTTTACAAAAAAAATAAATTTTAAAAGTTAATATATGAAAATTTAATCATATATTTCCTTTTTTTTTTTAACAGAGTACTTAAAAGGCCTATATATACTATTTGTTTTTATTATTCTTGTGATTATCCTCATTTTATTGTTAATAGTTACATTTTATATTAAAAAAAAAAAACGAAAATTTTGTATACAAAAGCATACAAATATTTTTGACTTGACGCAGCCATTAATTTAAAATACATGATACTTTTCATTCTTATTTATTTTTGTTATATTTTTTTTTTCTATTATTATTGAAAATTGTTAATCTTTTGTTTTTTTTTTTTTTTTTTTTTTATCCGATAAAAAATTCAAAAATATTTTTTTTATAACGTAAAGTAAGGCTACGATTTGTTTTCTTTTTTAATTAGAATTTCAATCAAAGTTTTTAATAAGTAAACGATCTTTGATGCTATTACATACATGCATCATTTATACCGTTTATCCTTTTTTTTAATATAAAAGAATATGTAGTTACCTTAAAAAAAAAAAAAAAAATTGTATATGTTCAATAATTTTTCAAATTAAAAAAATTAGGAACACTATTTTATAGTAGATAATCACATTACTTCTTATCATATTATTTCATTTCATTTTTTTTTTTTTTTTTTTTTATTGATATAGACATAATTTATTATATACTTAAAGGAAAGGATACGAACAATTAAAATACATTATTTAACAATTGAAATAAAAATCTTTGTTAAAGTTTTTAAAAAATAAAATGGAAATAATTATTTAAAAATAAAAGTAAATAAATGGTTTAAATATTAATTATGTATCTCATAATGCAAATTCTAATAGCGATTTTTTTTTTTCATCATTTGAAATTCAAAAAAATTAACTGTAAATAAAAAAGAAAGCATAATAGTATTATCATTTTAGCCTTATGCATTTTATATGCATATATTTTATTTTAATTTTGCATTTAATTATTTAATCAATCAACTATTATTAGTAAACATATAAAAGAACAAATTTATTAAAAAGTTAATTTCTTATACAATTAAAATTTATAAATAATGATTGTAATCAAAATTGTCTTTAATATATTCTTTTTTATGTTCCATTTATATATATGCTGAATAATAAATTTAATTAACAGTTGTAATGTGTTCATGTGTTTTTTGAAAGCCTTCAATTTAGCTTGTTGTTTTAATTTTCTATCATACTAAAAATTTTTGATTTAATCAACGTTTTTTAATGAAAATAAATCCCTTGTGAAGATATTATGAACATGTCAGGAATAAATTTTGTTCTAAAACAATTCTTTTTAAATATAATTATGTAAAACAAAAGTTAATTCTGATATTGCACATTGTAATATAATGCACATTACAACAATTTTCCAAGAGAAAAAAATAAGAATAAATTCCATAAAAAAGAATTCCGTTATAATTTTAATTTTTTCTTGAGTTAGCATGATGAAAGAGTATTAATAAAGCAAATAAAAATACATAAAAAAGTTAAAATAAAAAGTGTAAATTGGCTACATAATTAAAAATAATGTTAAAAAAAAATAGCTTATTTTTAATAACTTTTAAAAGCTTATAAAAAAATAGGAACTCTCAAAAAAAAAAAAAAAAAAAAAAAAAAAAAAAAAAAATTATTTTCATGAAAACTTTTATTTAATAAAAGAATTTTTTTTTTTTTTTTTTAAACTTAATTTTTTTTTACCTTTTACTTTGAATAGAACTATTCTGTTTTATAATTTTATTTTTTTTTTTTACACACACTTTTACCAAGAATATTTCGGTAATAACAAAAAGAAATTTTGAATTTTTTTTTTTTAAAATGTCATACAACAAGACTTATGGAGGGCAATTTATGGGACTTAGCTCCACTGCAAGTAACAAAATTTCGTTTAGATACTAAAATTTTATAAATTACATGTATGTGGATATATTAATATTTATGTAATTACCTATATTTTTGTAAAAATTGGAAATAAATAAATTTTATAAATTTCATTATTCTATTACTTATGAATATTAATAATAATATTAATTCAAAAATAATTTTAAGACATTACAACTTTTATGTATGATTATTTGTAATATAATATCTTTAATCTTTATTATTTTAATTAAATATTTTATTGAACAATATTTTTTATAAATAATAAGATATTTGAAATGTTTTATAAACATAGGTAAAATTAAAGAATAACATTTTACATATGAATTCATGATTTTTTTTTTTTTTTTTTTATAGATACAAATAACCAACAGAAAATAAATGAAAAAAAAGCAGAAAAAAAAATAGAAAAAAAAGAACAGAAAAATGCTGAAAAAGTAATTTTTGCATTATCGGATTTAAGGTGATTAAGAAAATTTTTAATTTTAAAAATTTCATTAATATTCCAATTATCCTTTTTCTGTTTTCTTAGAGGAATAAATATATCGGAATTACAAAATGGAGAAATATTTTTTTTTTGTACAATTATATTTGATAACAATGATGTAAAATTGGTATGAAGAATATTTCTTGCTTATTTTAAATTAATCAAAAATGAAAAAAAAAAGAAAATTTTATCGAACTTTTTGAATTTTATTTTAATTTTTATTTTTTTGCAGTCTATGGAAAAGTCAAACCATAATTCTTCTTTGATTCTAGGAGAATATTTACACTCATCCTATTCACTTACTTTTAGCGAAGAAGTAAAGATATTTATATTATATAGACATAAAACGTATCTTTAATTTTTTAAACACCTTATTATATTTTTTTTCTTTTTTTTTTGTTCTTTTTATCATTAAGCACAACATTATAATAAAAATATATATTACAAACTTTTTATTTCTAACTTTAATAGATTGTTTTAAATATACCACAAGATTCTAACTTTGCAAGGTGCTATGTGTCATGTATTACCGTTACAGAATCTGATGGAAAAAGAAATATCAAACTTGAAGGAATAGGATATACAGATCCATTTCCAATAAAGGAATGCAAAGTAGCATAACAATGATGATTTCATTGTTTTTCTATTTATTTATTTATTTATTTTTATTAAACGTTAATAACAAGAAAATATCAACTATAAAAAAATTTTTATATTTTTTTAATTTTCCTAACTAGGTATATGGTTATGCAAACTGCAAGCTAAACACAGCAGTTGGAGCACCAGAAACACAAGGTAAATAAATGTTTTTTTCTTTTTTTAATTACATATATTACATATTTTATTTCAAAAAAAAAAAAAAAAAAATAATAAATGGGAGATGATTCATATGTATATACATGTTTTATTTATTTTAAACTTAGGAATTTTAAAAATGTGTGTAAAATGCGTTGAAAATACCCATCCCTCTATAGTTAAGCCATCAAAACCATATAATGCTATTGAGGAAATAAAACAAAGATATGAAAATTAAAAGAAATTTAAAAACCTTTGAGACTAGTTTTTACTTTTATAATTGCATACTTGTTTACATTTATTATAAGAATGATTAATATATAATTCTTACATTTATTTAAAAAAAAAAAAATTTATAATAGAAAACATACAATTAAATGTTTTTTTATACTTTTATTTTTTTTTTTTTTTTATTAAATACTAAATTTATTTATATTTTTCTAATTGCCATTTTTTTTATTATTCTTTTAATATATAAAACTGAACAATTATTTTTTTCTCTAAAAAGCTTTATATTTATTTTAATTTACGCAATATTATTAAACTATTTGTGGATAAAATGCATAAAACATTTCTTATTTTTAACATAAGAAATTTTTATTCTCAGTGTATATTTAACTTAAACTATTTTTCAATAATACATAAACATTTTTCTATTCATACAATTGTAAAATGATAAATGGAAAACTTTTTAAAGCATGGATGTTTAAATTTATTTTAGAATATTATATTACATTAATTTTTATTTTTGTGAAATTTTATTTTTATTATAGAAAAAAAAATATATATATATAATACCTCCCGTGTTAATCGTTCTTAAAGTTATTTCTTATTTTTTACTGAATAACAATAAAGAAAAAGAGAAATATAACACTTTCAATAATATCAATATCAATATTAAATTTCTTTTTTTCTACATGTTGTTAGATCATTTTTATTTTCTTTAATAAGAAAAAATATATTTTACCTTATATTACTTTCGTTAGAGCTAATTTGATAGCTGTGAGATTTCTCCCAAATAATAAATTAAAAATATAGTTTATATTTTTAATATTTTTTTTTTTTTAAATATAGCTTTAATAATAAAAAATAATTTAATATTATAAATACAAAAAAGGGAAAAACTTTAAAATTATGTTAAGGTAAAAAAAAATAAATAAATAATAAATATCGCTTCTTTTGAAAAAATGATTATAGAGCATGTATTAGCAAAAAAAAAATTTTTTATAAATTTAAAATGCTATGTTATAAAATTTTTTAAATTAGCTTCATTAGCCGTAGAAGTAAAAAATATGGTAACGAATATTAAGCAAGGCATTTATTTTTTATTTTTTTATTTTTATTAAAAAAAAGTTAATTTTTAGAAAAAAAAAAAAAAAAAGTTTCTTTTTACCGTTTTTTATAAATATATTTTTTTAATTTTTCTGAATTATTATAAATTAGCTTTATATTTTTGATAATTTATTTTTTTTATCTTTTATATTTTCTTCATTTAATATATAAAAAATTAAAATTTACTATAATAGAAACTCCAATTTATACAGAGAGTAAGAATTATAATGATTCCATTTCATTTAATGCATGCATAATAAAAAATTAATTTATTCTAATTTTGTACAATTTTTGTGTTGTTAAAAATTTTTAATTTTAATTTTTTCAATTTTTTTTAAATACTTAAAATTTTTTTATTTTAATACGTAATTCATTTTATAATAAACTTTAATGATTAATTTATTGTAATGTATTATTTTATAGATTTCTACTTTTATTTGTATACTTTAATTAATTTTTCATATTTTATTTTTATTTGTATATTTTATCTATTTAAAAACAGATTAAATATCAATATTCCACATAAAAAAATGAAATAAGGCAATTATAGTGAAATTCATATAATTGTAGAAAATTTTGAAATTTAACCTTATTTGTTAATATAAAAAATTAATATAGACATTTTTAATTATTAAAGAATCGAGTTTTTTAGTTATAAAATTTTGAATTGTTTAAATATATAGCTAATTAAATATCTGAATTTACTTCCTTTTTATTATATATTTTAATTTATTATTTACAAGTAAATAAATACAATAATTTTTCATTCCATATATTTTATTTTAATTTTTTATATTTCTTTTTTTATACAAAAAATAGATTTTATGTATATAAATACATGTATATTGTTCATTAATTTGTAACCAAGTTATTAAGAACAAAAATTACAATATCAAAAAATATTAGAGTATATTATTGAGAAATCTCTAATGATTGTGATTAATAATATAACGAACGCTAGCATTTGGTTTTATTAAATAAATAGAAAAATGATATTATAAATAATCCATTTTTTTTTTTTTTTTTGTATTTTTTTTTGCTAGGTTTTGTTTTTATTATAACCCATAAAAGATATAAAAATATATTTATATGTTCATATTATTATCTCTTTCACATAGTTAAATATTTCCATTTCTTATTTTTTTTTTATAATTTTTGAGTATTTTATTTTATATTAATTTTTGAACATATGATATATTTAACTAATTATTCAATTATTTAATTATTTATTTTATTTTATTTATTTATTCATTTAATAAAAATGATAATTGGAATTTTGCGTAACTATATTTTTGTCATATTGTTTATTGTTCTTAAAATTGATTCTAAAGCATCTGCAGATAATAATCAGGTGATTATAAATTAAAAAATAAATTTTAATAAAACAAGATACTATATATATAACACTCTAATATTTTCTATATACATATATATATTTATATTTTCATTCCTTTTTCAAATTTATTAAATTTTTATTTTTATTTAGCAAAGTAATTATTATAACAGAACAATAAACATTTTAAATAATGGGAAAAATATAGCTAAGAGATATGGTCATAACAAATTAAAGCCTCTACATATTTTGAGTGCATTATCAAAAAGCGATTATGGTAAAAATGAAAAAAAAAAAAAAAAAAAAAACATTTAATATTATTACATAAAATAAGAAATATTTATTAATATATACATATATATATTAATATATTCTTCTGTTTCTTTATATTTATTTATCTTTTTTTTTTTTTTTTTTTTTTTTTCATTTTATAATAATAGGAACAAATTTATTTAGGGAAAATAATGTTAATGCGAGTAGCTTGAAGGAATATGTAGATAATGCTTTAGAACAAACTAGAGCTGGAGCGGTATATATTCATATTTATTATTATTATGAAATTTATAATATTTAATTAAAGAAAAAGCATTATTAATAAAGATATTCAAATGTTTTATATATATATTTGTAGTTTTGTTTTTATTTAGTTCATTAACAATATATATATATTTATTTATTTTATTTTATTTTATTTTTTTGACATATTTATATGCTTATAAACATTTTTTTTTTTAATGTTTTATTTATTTGATTTTTTAGCCTTTAGATAACAAAACGAAAGTTGTTAACTCAGATGAAACAAATGAATTATTAGCATTAGCTGAAAGTCTAGCTAATAAATATGGAAGTCAAAAAGTAGATGTAGAACATTTGCTGAGTAGTTTAACAAATGATGAGTTAGTTAATGAAATATTTAGTGAAATATTTTTAACAGAGGAAACAATTAAGAATATTCTTAGAAATAAATATGAAGTAACTAAAAAAGATAAAGAATTAAAAGGTGCAAAGTTTTTTATTGAACAATTTGGTACTAATTTAAATGAAAAGGTAAGAAATGGTAAAATTCATTCTATTTATGGAAGAGATGAGGAAATAAGAGCAGTTATTGAATCTTTATTGAGATATAATAAAAATAGTCCAGTTTTAGTTGGACATCCAGGTACTGGTAAAACAACCATTGTAGAAGGCCTTGCTTATAGAATTGAAAAAGATGATGTACCTAAAGAATTACAAGGTTATACTGTTATAAGTTTGAATTTTCGTAAATTTACATCTGGAACTTCTTATAGAGGAGAATTTGAAACAAGAATGAAAAACATTATAAAGGAATTGAAAAATAAAAAAAATAAAATAATTTTATTTGTTGATGAAATACATTTACTACTAGGAGCAGGAAAGGCTGATGGAGGTGCAGATGCAGCTAATTTATTAAAGCCAGTATTATCAAAAGGAGAAATTAAATTAATAGGTGCAACGACAATTACAGAATATAGAAAATTTATTGAAAGTTGCTCAGCGTTTGAAAGAAGATTTGAGAAAGTTTTAGTTCAACCTCCATCAGTAGAAACTACTATTAAAATTCTAAGATCTTTAAAAAGTAAGTATGAAGATTTTTACGGGGTACGTATAACAAATAAAGCTATTGTTGCAGCCGTGAAGGTATCAGATAGATTTATTAAAGATAGATATTTACCTGATAAGGCTATTGACTTATTAAATAAGGCATGCTCATTTTTGCAAGTTCAATTATCAGGAAAGCCAAGAATAATTGATATTACAGAAAGAGAAATTGAAAGATTATCTTATGAAATAAGTACATTAGAAATGGATATTGATAAATTATCTAGAAAAAAATATAATAGTCTAATTAAAGAATTTGAAGAGAAAAAACAAGAATTAAAAAGTTATTATGAAGAATACATAATAACAGGGGAAAGATTAAGGAAAAAAAGAGAAATAGAAAAAAAACTAAGTGAATTGAAGGAACTTACACAAAATTATTTATATTCAAATAAAGAACCTCCATTAGAACTTAAAAAAAGTTTAGAAGAGGTACAAAATGAATATATGCAAATATACAAAGAAACATTAGCTTATATTGAAGATAAAACTCACAATGCTATGAATGTAGACTCTGTATATCAAGAGCATGTTTCATATATTTATTTAAGAGACTCTGGTATGCCACTTGGCTCCTTATCCTTTGAATCATCAAAAGGTGTTTTAAAATTATATAACAGTTTATCAAAATCAATTATTGGAAATGAAGATGTAATTAAATCATTAAGTGATGCGGTTGTAAAAGCTGCAACTGGAATGAAAGATCCAGAAAAACCAATTGGAACCTTTTTATTTTTGGGTCCTACTGGTGTAGGAAAAACGGAGCTTGCCAAGACATTAGCTGTTGAATTATTTGATTCCCGTGATAATTTAATTCGTGTTAACATGTCAGAATTTACAGAAGCACATTCAGTTTCTAAAATTACTGGTAGTCCACCAGGATATGTAGGTTTCAGTGACTCTGGTCAGTTGACAGAAGCTGTAAGAGAAAAACCTCATTCCGTTATTCTTTTTGATGAATTAGAAAAAGCACATCCAGATGTATTTAAAGTTCTTTTACAAATATTAGGAGATGGTTATATTAATGACAACCACAGAAGAAATATTGATTTTTCAAATACCATCATTATAATGACTTCCAATTTAGGTGCTGAACTGTTCAAGAAAAAATTATTTTTTGATGCTGATAAGTCAGATACTCCAGAGTACAAAAAAGTATTTGATGATGTTAGAACATCACTTATTAAAAAATGTAAGAAATTTTTTAAGCCAGAATTTGTTAACAGAATAGATAAAATTAGTGTATTTGAGCCATTAAGTAAGAAAAATTTACGTAAAATAGTTAAATTAAGATTTGAAAAATTAGAAAAACGGTTAGAACAAAAAAATATCCATATATCTGTATCTGAGAAGGCAATTGATTATATAATAGATCAATCTTATGATCCTGAATTAGGAGCAAGACCAACCTTAATATTTATCGAAAGTGTAATAATGACAAAATTTGCTGTTATGTATGTAAAAAAAGAATTAGTAGACGACATGAATATATACGTTGATTATAATGATGAAGCTAAAAATTTAGTTATAAATCTATCTATGGATTAGTTGTTACTTTTTTTTTTTTTTACGAGTTTCAAGAAATATAAGCCTATAAAAGACATAAAATATAAAATAACATTGTACATAATACGAAAAAAATATATTTTAAAATAAAATGAATTAGAAATTGTTTCATTAAGTTCCTTAAATATGATGAGCTTAAAAAATAAAAACAAAATAAAATGTGAAATAGCATATTTAACCTAAGTATTTAAAATTTATTTAACTTTTTATTTGATAAAACTATATAAAAATTGCAATATATAAAATTTGTAATTTAAAAAGTTTTAATTTTTATTTCAATTTAATATATATATATATATACTTTAAATATATTTACACATACATTTTTATGCATTTTAATTTGAAATTGCATAAAATTTTTATTTTTACTTTATTTTTTTATTTTTAATTACTAAATTTTTATAATTAATACTTATATTTATATTCCTTTTTAAATAAATTTATATATATTGTTATATATTTACAGGAGAAATTTTGTTTTTCAATTTTTTATTTTGTCCAACTTTTTATATGTAAATTTTTTGCACCTTAATTTTTTTAAAATAATTTTTTAAAAGTTAAACTATTATTAAAGAACACTTTTTTCTTATTCTTTGTTTACCTATGAAATCATAGATTTAAAATTATTATTAAATTATTTTTGATCAATAATATTATTTTCTTATTAGATATCATTTTAATTTTTTTTTTTTCAATAGATGTATAAAACAAAAGTAGTAAAAGGTAATTATTTTATTCTGTTCTTTTTCTCTTATCCAAAAATTAATGTTAAATTAATAATAAAAAAAAATTAACGACATATTTAAAAATATTTTGATTCCAACAATTTTCGGCATAATGTAATACAATATTTTTCTTTTTTATTTTTGCATTAGAAAATGTGAAAATTAATATTTGCTACTATAGTTCTTTATATTAATTAGAATAACAATTAAAAATAATAAAGGATATTATAATATTATTAATAAATTAACATTTAAAATAATGATATATTTAATCTATCATTTACATAAGCAAAGAAAAGAATAAATATAATTTGCAATATGTAAGTTAAAATTTATATTTTAAAATAACAGGGAAATTTAGTTGCTAATATCATTTGTTTATATATATATACATACAATTTAGATATTCCAAAAAGGAATATAACAAAAAAACATTAAATGCGATAATTGTTGATTTTAATTGCTTAATATGTTCACTATTTTATGCTATTTTAAAACTCATTGCAAACTTTAAAAATAAATTGAAAAAAACAGTAAAAAAAGCATTTAATTAAATAAAAGGGGACCAGAAAAGTAAAACTAATCATATTTATACATGAAAATATATACAAAAATATATGAAAAACATAATAATCAAAAATAATAAAAATAATGGTATACTATTTATATGTTAAGACAGCTATCATTATATCTATACAAAAAATTGGAGTTTTTTTGAATTTCATTGATTCTATTGATATATTTAATAATTTCATTTTAAAATATAATGTTTGAGAGAAGTTTTAAACTTAATACTATTTATGTTTTTAAGTGTATCAATCTTGTTCTATGTTAATGAAAAAATTTGATAATAATATAAAGGTTACAGGTATCTATTTTTATATTAATAAGACATATGTAATATAAATATCAAATAAAATAATTCTTTTCAATATTATTCTTAAAAAAATAAATATCATTTCATCTAAGGAAAAGCAAAGTTTATAACCTATTAAATATACTTTGTAATAATTAATTTATTCCATTTATAATAATTATAAAACACAACTTTTCTGATGAATTGTTTAATGTAAATAAATTTATTCATTATATATTTTATTATTTTATATTAGATTCCTAAGTTGTATCTTACATGGAAATTTAATAACCCCTTTTTATAAACTTAATTTAATGTAGGATACATTTTTTTTTTTTTTTTAATACGAAATTCGACATGACTTTTTTTAAAAGCAAAAACTAATAATTTCAAAACTTGAAATATAATTTTTCTATAATGATATTATATATTCATGGCTATTTATGCCTGATAATATAAATTATTTTTATCTTTTGAAATAAGGAGACGCAATATTTAGTTCAAGAAAGTTATTTTTTTAATTTTTTATTAATTTTATATATTTAGAATAAAAAAAATTCATGTAGTAATATAAATATGGTGATATTTTTTAAAAATTAAAATGCTTAACCATATAAGGATTATTTTAATTAAAATTTTTGTTCATTTACATTACAGATAATTTTTTAATTGTAAAAATAACAATTAAAATAATAAAAAATAAATGATTAAAAAATTTATTCTAAATATCTTTTATTATAAAATGGCAGTTCATCATAGAAATAATTTATCTACATACGTGAGAATTTTACTCATCAATGGTTCTATTGTTTTTAAGAAACAAACTATTTCATATATACAAAAAATGTATCAACTTTTCTTTTTCTTTTCACATAAGTTTGTCCAATTTATTTTTATTTAATTTATTTGGCTAGTATATAATAGGAAAATACCATTTTAATTTCTATTTTTTCCTTATTAAAAATATAAGATCTTTAGCTCTCTTAATATTTTTAAAGGCAAACATGAATATTATTTTATGTTATGAATCAAGATATTTTTTTTTAATTTATACCATGAAAAAAAAAAAAAAATTTAATAATAATTATTAAATTACAAAACATAATAGTTCTTCATGTAACATGAAATCTTACGTATATTTTTTCAGTTAAGTGCATGTTTACGAGAAGAGAAAAATTTTCCTTTAGAACGACAATCTATATTTGTAATATTAAAAACTATAATGAAAATTTTTTTTTTCCTTATAATTAATTTTCCATATTTTAATAGATAAACAAATTTAAATATTTTATTTACACAACATATAAAAATTCATAAACATGAAAGAAAAACCAAAATAACTTTTTTTTTTTTTTTTTTTTTTTTTTTTTTTTTTTTTTAGCTAGCTGGACTCTGCTTATTTTTTGCTGACAAAGTTTTTAAAATGTTATAAATATTCCTATAAGATTAACACTTTAATATTCTCTATAAAATAATATATTAAGTGTTAATTAACAATTTTACATAATTTGTAGCTTTTATGTATTTTCCTTTAACATTTGTTTAAAATATATATAAATAAAAAAGAACTTTGAGATTTTACAATTAAATACATACACTTCCACAAAAAAAAAATATTGAGCTCTTTTTATTATTTGCTAAATTATATAAATAGCTTCTATATTTTTATATAATAAAGAAAAATATTATAAATAAATGAAAAATAATATTTTCCGTTACAACTTATAAATCATTTAAAATAAGGTGTTTAAAATGCTTTTTCTTTTAATTTGTATAATATTATTTTAAACTTATTTTAAAATTTTTACTTATTAATTCAATTTTTCTTTGTCAATATTGAAATTCCCAAAAAAATGTAAATTTGCATGTATTATAAGAATTAATATGATTACAATCTAAATTATTCTGTTTTTTTTTTTTTTTGTCATAATGCATAATTAATAATATAATGAAGAAATAATTACGTAATAATAGATTTTAAATATATTATTTCTATAAATTTAATTTTAAATCTATATATTTTTTTTTTGAGGCAATTGTTCTTTTTTATTTATAAATAAAAAGAGAAAAAAGAAAAAATGACAAAAGCACAGGATGCTATAATTCTATTATTAGTTTTTTTAAATATTATATATGTGAAATTTATAATAGCCGATTTACCTATTCATGCAGAAATAAGGCACTTGATTGGAAAATGGAGAATTTTAAAGACAAACACATCTTCTACAATATCGACTTGTGGTTCAAGTCAACCAAATAGTAATTTAGATAATATAAAAATAAAAGATTATAAAAGTCATTTGCTTAATATCAATTATGAATTCGTGTCAGAATTAAATGTAATTTTGTCGGATAATTTTGTTTTATATGGAGATATTTACGACACAACAAATAATGAGCATAGAAAAAATTGGAAAATTTTAGTAGTATATGATGAAAATAATAAAATTATTGGTACCTGGACAACAATATATGATGAAGGATTTGAGATAAGAATAGGTAATGAAACATATACAGCATTAATGCATTATGAACCTAGTGGAAAATGTGATGAACTTTCAAATAATGACTCCTTAGACTCTAATGGTGAAACAAATTGTTATATTACTAATTATGATAAAATAAGATTTGGATGGCTAGATATATTACATGAAAATAATGAACGATCATTTGGATGTTTCTATGCTGAAAAAGTCTCTTATAATGGTGAAAAACTAAATAGCAACAAATCAGAGCATTCTGATGAAAATATTACGAGTGATAATTTAGAAAGATATAATAATTTTCTTGAGAATAATAATGAATATAATGAAATATATTCACATAGATTTTTATTTAACGATGAAAATGAATTAAAAAAAGAAGATGATTACGATGAAGAGAAAGAAAATCATCAAAATCCTACATTTTCTAAAAAAAAAAATATCAATTATGATGAAAATACTGAATTAAATTGGCATAGAGTTAAGCATCATGGAAAAAAAAAAAAAATAAATAAATCTTTGAGTGTTCATTTAAAACAAAAATATGCGTGTCCTTGTAGTTCACATGAACAAGTACACAATAAGAAGAATAAGGGAAAATCTTTTAATGTTGTCTCTCATTCTCTTGTTGAGATAGAATATAAAGAAAATTTATATGTTAGTAATTTGTTAGAAACAAATGAAACAAGCAATGAACTTGATTTAAAAAATTATGAAAATACAATATACGTTCCAAAAAGAGAATTAGAAATAAATGAATTACCTTCTGCCTTTACATGGGGGGATCCTTACAATAATAATACAAGAGAATATAATGTTTTAAATCAATTAAAGTGTGGCTCTTGTTATATTGCTTCTCTATTGTATGTTTTTAAAAGGAGAATTGAAATAAACTTGACAAAACAATTCGAGAAGGAATATTTGAATGACTTTGATGATAATTTATCTATACAATCAGTTTTATCTTGTTCCTTTTATGATCAAGGTTGTCATGGTGGATATCCTTTTTTAGTTTCCAAAATAGCTAAATTACAAGGAATTCCTCTTGATAAATTTTTGCCATATACTGCTAAAGATCAAACTTGCCCTTATAATGTAAAAAAAAGTTACCTTGATTTAAATAAAACTAATAATGGGTCAGGGAAACTTAAAGAAATAAAATCATTATTTAATAAAAATAGATATACCCATATGAATGAAACATATGACGACAATCTCATAAATTTGGATTCTAACAAATGGTATGCAAAAGATTATAATTATGTTGGTGGTTGCTATGGATGTAATCAATGTAATGGAGAAAAAATTATGATGAATGAAATATATAAAAATGGTCCAATAGTAGCATCTTTTGAAGCAACACCAGATTTTTATAATTATGAGGATGGAATATATTATGTAAATGAGTATCCTCATGCAAAAAGATGTTCAGTAGATGCAAAGAATTTGAATGTTTTTAATATAACTGGATGGGAGAAGGTTAATCATGCTATTGTTATTGTTGGATGGGGAGAGGAAGTTATAGATGGAAAAAAATACAAATACTGGACCGCTAGAAATAGTTGGGGTAAAAATTGGGGTAAAGATGGTTACTTTAAAGTTATAAGAGGTGTTAATTTTAATGGTATTGAAAGTCAGACTCTTTATATTGAACCTGATTTTACACGAGGTGCTGGTGCGATAATTTTAGAGAAAATGAAAAAAGAATTGAAATAATAAATTTCTTTTTTTTTTTTTTTTTTTTTTTTTTTTTTTTTTTGTGGAAATAATTTTTAAGACTTTAACTAAAAAGGAACTTTTTTTAATAGACATTTATAAATATATATTTGTATATATAAAATTTTCCTATTTTCATTAACTCAAAGGTAAATATAATTTCATAAAAAATTATTTTTGATACATAAAAAAAGAAGTCTACAAAAACGAATGAAATAATGAAAATTTTATTTGAGAATAATAAGAAGAAAAAAGTGATTAGTGAAAACTAGATAAAATAATAGGATGTTTTACTTGTAGAAGTATTTAAATTTTTATGAATTCAGAAAAAAATAAAAAATTTTAATATTTATATAAATTTGATTTAAAATTATATTAATCTATGTTAAATTATGATACACTATCTTTATGTTAAGAATTTTGTTTCTTTATTTTTTTTTTTTTTATTTGAATAATTCATTTGTGTATCATATTTTTTTCGCTTTAGATAATACTATAAATTTATAACACCCAAATGTTTTCATATTTTTAAAAATAAAAATAAAGCCATTTATTAAATTTTATGGTTTGTATCCCATATGTTAAATGATTTAATTTGCGTTTTTGAATCTAATTTTGCAATTTTGAAGAATTAATGAAAAAATAAAGAGGTACAACATAATGAATAATATATTATTTCCACTAACAGAATTTATATATTTTGGTAATTATATTTTTAAAATATGTCGTACAATAAATTAAAAAAAGAACAAATGAGAGTATTTTAAAATGTGCATAATGAAAGTTCACATAAAAATTTATAGAAAGACAACTTGATTAAGAGTAAAATGAAGGAGCATTCTTAATTATAAAATAGTTTATAGTTTCTTAATTATTTTTTTAAAAAAGAATATTAAAAAAAGAAAATTCTATGAAAAAATCCATGAATCACTTCCAATAAGACACAGATGTTTTTTTTCATTATAAAATAAAAATTTACATTTACTTTTTTCTTTATATATTTTCATTTATTTTATTTTTTACTTTTTTAATTTTTCCTTCTTTTAGGCATATAAAATAAAAGATATACATGTGTTTTTATTTATTCTTTCTTTTTTTATAAATTATTACAGTTTTTTAAATATTTTCAACAAAAATATTTTTTAAAATTACGATACAGAAATAATTTAAATAATTTTCTTTTTTACAAAGATAAAACTATAATTATAAAAAAGAAATACAAAAAGGAATATTAAAAAGAGAAAAATCTTATAATATTTAGTTACAAATATGATGTTAATATGTAAAAAAATTGAATAATTCTCGAAACTACATAAATTTTGAAAATTATGTACATGAAATTTGAAAATAAATGCATAAAGATGATTTAAATTGAAATTTGAAATTCATTAATTTAAAAAAATAATATAAAAAAAAAAAAAAAAAACTAATAAATTTAAATAAAATAATTAAGGAGCTATTCGATCAAAAATAAAATTTTTAATAAATTCTTTTTCATTAAAATCTTTTTTTCTTTTCTATTAAAACTCATGAAGCGTCATAAATAGAAATATGGGAAACAAATTATATATAAATTTTAAAAAAAATCAACAATTACAAATAAAAAAGGCATTAGTATAGATATTAATTCTATATTTTAATAATGTGTTTTTCTGTAGATAATTTATATTTAAAATAAATTACAAAAAAAATTTAATAAATATAAGCAAAATTTTATGAATTATTTCTTTATTTTGGAGAAAATACATTCACTGAAAATTTTTTTTTTTTTTAAAATGATTAATAATGAAAATGAATGTAATAATAAAGATGAGGGTATGAAATCAAAACCAATTTTCATAATGAATAGTTTTCTACAAAAAATTTTTTGTAGTAATTTTTCTAGACTAGTAAGATGTGAATAATAATTAGAAAATTGATGAAGAAATTATATTGTGTCTTTTTATAGATAGAAATATACAAAATAGCATTGTATATTTATGATATTAAATTATATATGTGTTTTATACATATAAATATATATATTATTAAAAAATAGAAGATATTATATCTTATATTTATATATTTTTATTTTATTTTTTTTCTTAGATTATGAAAGAAAGTAAAAAAGTAAAATATAGAATGGAAATATTTATAATATTATTAATAGGAATTTTGAGTTTTTTAATTCGTTTATTTTCAGTATTAAGAAATGAGCCTATAATACATGAATACGATCCATATTTTAATTATAAATTAACAAATATATTAAATGAAAAAGGTTTTTATGAATTTTGGAATTATTTTGATGATAAATCTTGGTTCCCATTAGGTAGAATAACAGGACAAACCTTATTTCCAGGATTAATGATAACCAGTTTTTTAATTCATAAAATTTTCCATTTTTTTGGATTTTTAGTTGATGTTAAAAATATATGTATATATATAGGACCCATATTTAGTTTTTTTACATGTATAATATCTTATTTATTGACAAAAGAAATTTATCATTTTAGCGGAGCTGCTTTATTATCTTCATTATTTGTATCCATCTCTCCATCCCATATATCAAGAACAGTAGCAGGTTCTTATGATAACGAATCTATATCCATATTTTTACTACTCTTATGTATTTATAATTGGATTAAATGCTTAAAAAAAGGAACTCTTTTATCCGTTTTAATATGTTCTGTTTCTACTTATTATATGGCTTTATCATGGGGGGCATATATATTTATAATAAATTCAATTAGTTTATTTATGTTAGTTATTATAATTTTAAAAAAATGTACTATTAAGCATTGTATACTTTATAACGTTTACTATATATTAACGACCATATTATTCCTTAATATCCCATGTATAAATCATTTAGTTTTTACGAGTATTGAACATCTGGCAACTCATGCAATTTATTTGCTTTGTACTTTGCTTATATTTTTTCATTTCATAATTACCTACTTTAAATTAAATGAGCAAAATTTTAAAAAAAAATTTATTCAGATATCATTTATTTTTTTTATTTTAATTTTCAAGTTTTTAGTTTTTACTGATAAATTGTCATGGAATCATAGATCAAGGACATTATTGGATCCTACTTATGCATCAAAACATAATCCAATTGTTGCATCCATTTCTGAACATCAGCCAACTACTTGGTCTTCGTATTTTTTTGATATACATTTAGTTTTACTTTTCTTCCCTATTGGCTTATATAAATGTTTAAAAAGAAATGCAACAATGGAGTTGTTTTTTATGGGAATTTTTTCAATTTTATGTTTATATTTTTCATCACTTATGGTTCGATTGCTTTTAATATTTTCTCCCTTTGCATGTATATTGAGTGGTATAGGTTTGTCTTCCTTAATAGGTCATTATGTTATATTTTTTAGAATTCCAAGAAATACTTTTCTCTCATCTATTGTTATAAAAAGTGAATATCAGAATTATTTTAATACAAATAAGCATAATGACAATCATACTAATAATAAAAATAATATTTTTAGTTATATGAAAAATGATAATAAGAATGATATCATTAACAGTAATTGTGACAATGCTAATAATAATAATAATTGTGAAAGCAAAGAAAATAAAACTTTTTTAAAAAAAATTTTTAAATTTTGGAAAAGGAACAAAACAAATTATTTAAATAATGATTGTGTTACAAAAGAATACAAATATTTCAAAAAAAATGAGAATTCTTCAAAAGACAATAAAGAATATGAACAATGTTATTTATTAAATGAAGAAAAAATTAATGCAAATATAAATGATATGAAAAAAACTAAAAAAAAAAAGTTTTATAATAATAACGTATTAACAAACGATGATAGATATAATCAAATGATATTAAGAAAATTAAATTTTAATAGAGTAGAAAATGATAGCTTATCTATATTAACAAGTATGATTATAATTATTCTATTAATCTATTATGTAATCTTAATTATTTTTCATTCCACTTGGTGCTCATCTATAGCATATTCGGAATCTAATATAACTTTTTATAGTAGAAATAAAAATGGTGATAGATATATTAATGATGATATTAGACAAATGTATAAATGGATTAATAAAAACACAAAAAAAGATTCTAAAATAGTTGCTTGGTGGGATTATGGATATCAACTAAGTGTTATGAGTGATAGAATAACATATATTGATAACAATACTTGGAATAATACGCATATAGCAACTATTGGTTTGATACTAAGTACTAATGAAAAAAATGCGTATGAATATTTAAAAAAATTAGATGCTGATTATTTATTAGTGTCATATGGGGGATATTCTAAAAACTCTTCAGATGATTTAAATAAATTTTTATGGATATTAAAAATAACAAATAAAAGTTATAATTTTATTAACCCCTTACTATATTATTACCATGATAAATATCATCCCTTAGGAAAAAACGCTACACCTTTCATGATTAATAGCGTTTTGTATAAGTTGTCATATTACAATTTAACAAATTCTGAAGTAAAAGGATATGATTATATTAGAAAAATTGAAATACCTGAAATAAAAAACTTGACTTATTTTGAAGAAGTATTTACATCTGATGTATGGGGATTTCGTTTATATAAAATTAAGGAATATGTTTAAGAAAATAGAAAAAACGAAAACCTAATTTATTTATTTTTTTTTTTTTTTACATTTGGGGTTTATTCTAAAATAATTTACCCAAAACTTAAAATATTGTTATCCATAAAAAAGAACCATAATGCTATATATTCTAATACGCATATCTATATTATATCTTGTATTATTTTGTATTATTTTGATTTGATAATAATTTTTCATTTTAATATTGTTTTTACATTTTGTTGTACATAATTTTTTTTTTGTTTTAACTTTTCTATTAATCAACTTTATATTTTTTTCATTGTGACTAACCTTTTGTAAATAAAAATAAAAAATTATTTTTTAATGTAATTTTAATTATAAAATTAATCCAAAATAATTATATATATTTTCATTTGATTTGGTACAACAAATATTTAAAAATTATGACAAAGAAAAAAAATTTTAAATAAAAAAAAAAGAAAAAATTTTAATAAAATTCATGAATACAAATGAATTGAAAAAATAACAAAATTAATTTAAAATTTGAATAATTACAACTATTATATTAAAAAAAAAAAAAAAAAAAAAAAAAAAAAAATTAAGAATTCATAAGACAAAAATATAAAAAAATAAAAAAAAAACAAATAGTTGCAATATAGCAAAAAAATACATAAATATATATATATATATATATGTATTTTTTATTTTATTTTTAAATTGTTAACTTAAAAATTATAAAAAAAATTTATGCATCTATAATAATAATTTCTTATTTTTATTTATATCATTTTAAAAAATTAAAGACAAGTGTTGTATGTATTCCTTTTTTTTTTTTTTTTTTTTAATATTGTTAATATATATATGTAAACATACACAAATTTATTTGAACAAATATATATATATATATATTTTACTTAATGCTTTTTCTCCTCTTTATCATTTAAATGCATTTAATTTCTCTAAAATTTAGACATCATTTTATATAATTATATTTAACTTCTTTTTTATGCATACGTTTTTTGCTTATCTTTGAGTTTGTCTATATTTTCTTCACTTGGTAATAATGGCACTAAACATAAAGATAATAAAAGAAATAAACCACAAATTAATATATATATGCTCAAGTTATCAAAATTATAACTATCTATTTTCATTAAATAAGTTAATAAAGATGATGTCCCTTTTTTCGTAAGAGAACCTAAATTTTTTATACTTAAAATTGTAGCAAAAACACTAGCTTCCAATCCGGTTTGACATATATTAGCTGTTAAAATAAATAGAGGTAATAATTGTATTTCTGTAATGGCTTCAATTAAAAAACCACCACTTAAAACAAAAAGTTCATTAGAAATTCCTAAAAATTTATTTATTTTTTCAGTTAACACTATTGGAGAAACATATATAGGAAAAGAAATTAATGTAGTAATAATTAATGTTTTTTTCAAACTGTAATTTTTCAAAAAAACTCTATAAGTTATTATGCCTATTAAAGAAGCAATACCATAAGTTAACCTTAAGGTTCCCATAAAAGAAGGTCTAAAACCTAATTTATTGGTACAGAAAAAAAAAAATATATCATCATAATCTGGTCCTGACATATATACAAAAATATATAAAAAGGGTCCTAAAAATATAGGAGTGTTTATAAATTTTATTAAATCAGATAATTGGTTAAAAATATTTTTATTTGTTGAATATTCCTTTTCTTTTAAGAATAAACAAGATACTAAAATAATTAATGGAAAAACTGATGTTGCAATAAAAATATATTCTCTTGGCATTTTTTCTAAAAAATAACCAGAAAAATAAGCAACAGATAAACTACCTACTGCTTTTGATGCTATAAATTCTGTTACCTTGTTTGTCCCTTGTGAGTATGTTTTTCCAATAGAACTTTCAACAACTAACGCTTCTGCAACAGTAGTACAAAAAGATGCACATAATGAAATGAAAAATAAAATTATAGTTGCCTGAAAAACTGTTAAATTAAGAAATGCTAACGCTAAAAAGTTTAACGACTGAAATAAACTGAATAAAAACAAATATGGTTTTCTTCTCATTCCAAAGATAGAAACAGAATCCGTTATTAATGCAATGATTGGTTTTAATATAAATGGAATATAGGGGTACATTAATATTAATGAAACTTGATATGGTGTTAACCGAAAATAATCTTTAAATAGATAATATATAGCTAATGAAGCTAAATGAGTCAAACCATCTGATAATCCAACTAAATATACTACTAATTGAGTAAAGTCTATATTTTTTTTTAATGTAGAATCTATTAAAGGTAATTTTTCTGCATTTTGTTTATTTATATCTACAATAGGGTCTATACTTAAATAAGGATTATTGGATTTTTCAATCATTATTTTAAACTCCTTAAATATATCTAAATTTTCTTTTTCTTCTTATAAAAATATTTTTTCCTTAATATTACATATATATATGTCTAATATGTTTCGTTTTTTTTTTAATTTTTTTTTTTATAATTCTTTCTATTTTTTAATTTAAAATTTTATATTTGGTTGCATATATTGAATATATATTTTACTTCACCACTGTATAAACAAAGAAAATTTTTTTTTTTTTTGAATTTCCTTGATATTTTTATTTAGTTTATATTACTATATGTAAGATAATAGTAATTTTTTCTTAACTCTTGTTAACAACATATCTATAATAAATATATTTATTAAAAAACGGTCTCTTATCAATATAACTGTTATTAATAATAAATAATAAATCTATTATTAATGCAATCTTATTTCTAAAATAATTATTACTATTAATTTTCCTTTTTTAATTTTCTTGAATATGCTTTTGTTATATCTTTTTTTTTTTTTTTTTTCCCTCGCTCCCTTATAAGATAAAAAATAGTCTTAAAAAATAGAATAAAAAATAAAATTAAAAATGAACAAAATAATAAAATAGCAAAACAAACAATTAAGACAAAAACTATTAATAAGAAATTATAAAATAAAACATAAACTTTATATTATTATAACTTATTAAAAAGAAAATTCTATAAACTAATAAAAAATTGAATTTATATATATAATAATAATGATAGAAAGAAATGAAAACAGTAATTTATACTTTGTTTTTATTTTTTTTTTCAGCTTTGAAAAAAAAAATATTCTTATAACAATAAATTGATAATCAATCTAATGAATAATAGTGAATAATAAAGAAAAAAAAAAAATATATATATACATATATTTGTATACATAAATATATAAATTAAGAAAACTAAAGTTTAAAGAAAAATTTAGATGCCATTTTCATTAATAACAATGAGTATATTTCTCCTTCCTTTTTCTGAAGAGGAAATCATGTATGTACATTAGGAATTTTAATATAACAATTTAATATATATATATTTTTTTTTTTTAATAGAAATTTGTTAAAATTTAAAGTAAATTTATTCTATTTACAAATAAAAATTATAAAAATACCCATTTTTTTTTTAAATTAAATGATCATATATAATTAAATAATGTATTTGTAATTTATATTCTTATAACAATTAGATTTCATTTTTTTTAAAATTACTTTTTTTTTTTTGTTTTTAAACACAAATTCAGATACATATTTTTTCTGCATAAAAAAAAAAAAAAAAATGAAAAAAAAAATATTAAAATATAAAAAGTTCTGTTTTTTGTGAAGCTTGAAATTTAAGAAATTTTTATTATTTTTTTTTTTTTTTCCAAAAAAATTTGTTATTCTCTTTTTAATTTTTTATATTAAAAGAAAAATTGTTTTTATTAAATAAAAATTAAACATTATTTACTATATTTTAAATTAGAATTTATATATTCTTTTTAAATTTTGATTATATTTTTTTTTTTTTTTCTTTTATCCGGTTACAGAATTTAATAAATATTATAAAATATAAATAAATTCTCTAAAAATTTAGAATAATGCAAAGTTACACAAAAAGATATGAATGTATAAATGAAAGATTACTTATATAAAAAAAAAAATTAGAAATATAAGACAAATTAAGTTTATAAATTAAAGGTTTAAGAACTGTAAAAAGTAAATTATAAATATATATATATAAAAAAAAAAAAAAAAAGTTTTAAAGTAAAAAATATAGGAATAATATATAATGCGAATTATAGTATGAATGAAATTAAAGTGTCTTATTTAAATTACCCTATATATGGTATTGCATCAAATGAAAATTATGTTGTAACATCAGGAGGAGGAGGAGGTAAAAGTTATGGTATTGAAGATTTATTAGATGTAAACATTTTTAATGAAAAAGAAAAAAAGTTAGATGTTATATGGTCTACTACAGAACAAAAAGGGGTAATAGATTCCATTTTATATGTACAGAAATATAATATATGGATTGGATCATTAAAAAATGAATGTATATTATTTAAGATAAATGAAGAAACAGGTCCTAGTATTTTGTTAAATTTTATTACTGATTTTGCTGAAAAAAACCCTAGACAGGTAGTAGTAAAATTTTCCGAAAATCAAGATTTCATATTAACAGGAGGAGATGATAAAACTTTGAGGTTATGGAAATTAAAATTTACAAAAGATTCTAGCTTTATACATGTAACTAATGATTTATATTTAGATTCAAAAACGGCTGTAGAACATTTAGGTGATTTTATAGGTCATGATGAAAGTATAAAAGATTGTGATATAACTTTTGATGAAAATATTGTATGCACATGCTCGTCTGATTATTCCTTAAAAATATGGGATACTTATAGATATATTAATTTACATACCGAGTTTATGAAAAATCCGAAAAATAAAAACGATAAATTAATTTTTCGTTGTTGTAAATTTTTAAAAAAGTCTAATATAATAAGAGAATATACATACAGTTTATTAACTACCGCTTCAAGTGCTAGGGGAAATAGTTTTTTAATCATATGGAATATATACTATGATAATAAAAAGGAAAAATTTTCTTGTGTTAAACAAAATTTAATATGGATAGATGAAACACCATGTTGTAATATGGCTATAAGTACCAATGAAAATTTTTTAGCTTTAGGATTTAGTACTGGATCTCTGAAACTTTATAATTCTAAATATTCTCTTTTAGCATATTATAAAAAACATGAATTACCAATTACAGCTATGTGCTTTACTAAAAATGATAAATTTTTGTTAGCTGCAGGAGCAGATTATAGTATTAGTTGTGTAGACGTAAATTGTCTTAGTTTTCGTTTTAAAAAAATTTGGAAATTTTTTATTTTTCTTTTTATATCATTAATAATATTTATAATTTTATTAGATTGTTTCAATGTTGGTTATGATTTACATGTGAATAGTCCCACTACAGATAAATTAAAATTTAGTAAAATTGATATTATTAAACAAAAAAATCAACCTTTTGACGAGTTATAAACATGTGACATTAGTAATAAAAAAAAAAAAAAAAAAAAAAAAATTCATATATAAAATTTTCAATTTGAAATAGCTTCATCTTCAGCAATTGGATTTGCATGAATTGTTACAGACTCTATTACAATATCTTTTATGGGTCTATTTTTTTCACCAACTGGCTCTATAAAATTTATAAAAAAAAAAAAAAAAAAAAAAAAAAAAAACAAAATAGATAATAATAATAATGAAATTATTTGTTTCTTTTTTTATTTTTTTTTTTTATTATTTGTTAAAATATACACAAGTGCCATACCGTTTTCAAGAACAGACAAAACATCCATACCATCTATAACCCTAAAAAATATTTTTTTTTTTTTATAAAAGAAAAAAGAAATGTTGAATGAATTCGTTCATATTTGTAAAGAAAAAGTGTCCATTTTATGAGGAATTATATTATACATATATTTTATTTTCATCATTTTATAATGTCATACACATATATTTTTTAAAAAATGCAAAAACTTTTATCTTTATAATGATATCTTAAATAATTAAGAGTATATTAATTTATATGTTTTTTAGTTTTAATTATTTTTTAAATGCATTTTTTTTTTTTTCTTTTTTTTGTTACTTTCCAAAAACAGGATAAACACCATTTAGATGTGGTTGTCTAGAATAAGTTATAAAAAATTGAGACCCATTTGTATTTGGTTTTCCTTTATTTGCCATTGATACAATTCCTCTTTTATCATGCTGTATTAAAAAATATAATAAATAAGAATGGATAATTCTTTTTAAAATTTTAACAACAAATATATATTTTTCTGAATTTTATCAATTTTGAAAATTTTAAATATATATACTTTATTTTTATGTAATTGCTAATCATACTTTTAATGTTGAATCAAATTCGTCTTCAAAATACTTTCCGTATATACTTTCTCCTCCTTTTCCTGTATTTGTTGGATCTCCCCCTTGTATAGCAAAACCTTTTATATTTCTAAAAAGGAAAAAAGAGAGAGATTTAATATATACACAAAGTCCTAAATATATTTCAAAATTTTCTATTCTTAAAACCTATGAAATTTTGTGTTATCGTAATATCCAGAAGCGCATAATGCTAAAAAGTTCTAAAGTAAATTATCTTAATATGACATTGTAAGTATCAAATTCAATATATGTAAAATATATGTTATGATATCTTTATAATATATTTTTCTTCATTTTCTTTTTTTATTACTTTGCAAGTTTTTGGAACCTCATAACAAAACAGCTCTATTTTTATATCACCATAATTTGTATGTAAACTTAAAGACATTTTAGAAACAACATAAAAAAAATAATAAAATAATTTTTTTAATCTTTTATGTAGTTATATATTTTTTTTTCATAATTTTTTTTTTTCTTTTTTTTTCATTTTATCATTTTTATGTATCTATTTATTTATTTCATCTGTTTTTAATTTTATTTGAGAAATTTATTTTTTTTGAATTTTATGGGGTTTTTCATTTAAAAAAAAAAAAAAAAAAATTGGAAGAAAAAAAAAGCGTTTGTTCTTATTTTTCTATTTTTAGTTAAGTATTTAAATATTTACATATATATATATATATATAAATTAATATATTTTGTGAGAAATTGTTCAAATATGTTCAACTATATATATGTTTGTTTTTTTAATTTTTTTTTTTTAAATTTAAAAAAGAAAAATTTTAAAATATTTTTTTTTAAGATTCATTTCATTATTCTATTATTACGTAAATAATTTAAAATTTTAAATGAATATTAGTATGTACTTTTTTTTATTTAATTTGACTGTTCATTAATTTTATTAGTATTTTCTAATATTAATTAATAGTTACTAATAATTAATTACAATAATAAAATAGTTTCTTTATATAACTTTTTTGGAATAATATTTTAATTATAATAAATAATAAAAAATTTTCATTTATAAATACATATATATCATACGTTTATAAATTCTAATTATTTAAAGATGTCAAGTGTAACTATTGGAGTTTTATCTTTGCAAGGAGATTTTCAACCACATATAAATCATTTTCTTAAATTAGAAGAACCATCATTACAAATTAAAGAAGTAAAGGAAAATATATACATTTAAATTTAAAAAATTAATTAAATAATAAAATTTTTTTATTTTCGAAGGTTAGAGATAAAAAAGATTTAAGTGAATGTGATGGTTTAGTAATACCAGGTGGAGAATCAACAACATTAAGAAAATGCTTTGCTTATGATAATGATTCTCTTTTTAATGTAAAATTAGATCTTTATTTTTTATAAATAAAAATATAGATATATGATAAATTCAATCAACATATATTTCTAAATTCTTTAAAAATTGTAGGCTATTAAAAATTTCATTCATGTAGAACAAAATCCAGTTTGGGGTACTTGTGCAGGTTGTTAAAAAATAAAATAAAAAGGATGAAAAAAAAAAAAAAAAAAAAGGAATTAAAAGAAGTAATATAGGGAAATTTATTAAAGATAATATTTTTTATTTTTTGATAGAAAATCTTTAATTAATATTAGTTTATTTTTTCATTTTTAATTTAGGTTGCATTCTTTTATCAAAAAAAGTAGAAAATATCGAAATGCATAGTGAATATGGAAAGAATTTTTCTTTAGGAGGTTTGGATATTGTGATATGTAGAAATTTTTATGGCTCTCAAGTTAAAAAAAAAAAAAAATCATATTTTCTTTATTCTTTTTGCTTATTATTTTTTTTTTATTTAACTAATCTTTTATATTTACTATTATTGCTATCTTTTTTTTCCTAATTTACATTTAAAGAATGACAGCTTTATATGTTCCTTAAATATTAACTCATACAATAATATTTTTAACAAAAATTTAAGAGCTGCTTGCATAAGGTCCCCATATATAAAAGAAGTCTTATCGGATGATGTATTTCCTTTTTAAAAAAAATTATTATAAACATATATATATATATATATTTCCTAATTACAATTTTCACACTTGTCATAGGTTGAAATACTTGCAACTTTTACACATGAAATAACTGGATCTAACATAATAGCGGGTAAAAAAATATATTTTGTAAACAAATTATTTTTTATTATCATTTATTAATATTATTTTAATCCTGTTTATATGATTATATATTTAATTTTTTATTTTATTTTTTTTCAAAGCTGTTGAACAAAATAATTGTATAGGAACTGTATTCCACCCCGAATTAATGCCGTACAGTTCTTTTCACCGATATTTTTATGAGAAGGTAAAAAATTATAAATATTCATAGAGATAAAGAAAAAGATGAACCATTTTTGTTTTTGTTTTTATTTAAATTACAAAAATCTTAAAGAAAAATTTAAAAAAATTTTTCTACATTTATAAAAAATGTGAATAAGCTAATAGATTCAGAACATTTTTAATTATATAAATTATACAAAGGTTTATTGATATATATTCATATTTTATTTCTAATTTATAAAAAATTAAAAATTATTATTTATTATAATTTTATTAATATATCACTAAGTTATTTTTTATTTTAAAATTTTTCTTAAATTAATTTATTTTCTTTTAAAACTTAGTTTTTAAAAAACTAATCGATTAATTTTTTATTTCTAGCTAAAATATAACAATTTTGAATTATTTACCTTAAATAAAAATTTGAAAAAACTTTTTAATTTTTTTTTGCATGAAAAATTTAAAAAATAAAAAAAAATTAATATTATACATATATATACATATATATATATATATATATAAATATACATATATAAATTATCTGAAAAGAGATAAAATATCATAAAAACAGATCCTTACTTTTTTTTTTGCGTTGTTATAAACATTTGCAAATAAAATTAAAGGAATGCTTTTAAAAAAACATATAACGTTATTATTTTTTCATTTTTAATTTATGATTTTATAAGAAAAAATCTAATATAGCCATGATTTTTCCTTTTTTTTTTTTTTTTTTTTTTTTGATGAGATTTTATTTACTAGTAAAAGAACACATTTTTTTAAAAATATATATGTGAATAAAATTACAGAATAATTTTTGTTAAAGAATATTTTTTTTGTGAAATAAAGTTTTGATTAAATATATTTTCAAAATAAAAATTTGAATAAATATATATGTATATAATTTTTTAAGTTATATATTATTTAAATAATACTTGAAACAATTAAAATTACATACGTAATACACACTTAACAATATAATACTATTAAAAAAAAAGATGTGTGTGTAAGATTAAGTTATTTACATTTATTTTTTATTTTATTGTAGAACTCTATACAAAAAAAGATTTATTACCTTAAAGATTGTAATACAGGAATAAACCTATGAGATAATAAAAAATAGGAAAAGTTAAAAAAATTATATAAGTTATTGTATTATTGCATACTTTACAAATTTAATTTGTTATAGGTTTATGTATATGTTATTTTCATATATCTTTTATAACATTAATTAGGATAAAAAATTGAAGACAAATATCTAAAAAAAAAAACATATAAAAATTCATGTTTATAAATATTAATATTTTATATTAATTTTAGATATAATTATTTTACTTAATATTTGATTTAATTTTTTTTTTTTTTTTTTATGTACTGATTTAAATTGTATTTATAAAAAACAAAAATATAAAGAAAAGAGAAAAAAAAAAAAAAAAAAAAAGTAAAATAAAATAAAATAAAAAATTGAGATAAAATAATAATAAATAGAAAAATAAAGACAAAAGTAAATTTAAAAGTAAAAATAAAAAATAAATAGAAAAATAAACAGAAAAAGAAATGACAACATGAAATGAGAGAAAAAAATTTAAATTACAGAAGTGAGTCCATATTCTCAACTAATAGAAATCTGTTTGAAATGCTTGAAACAATAGATGATGAAAAGGAAGCTAAAAGAAGTGCGCATTTTTTTAACAATAATAAAAATATCTTATTAAGTTTATTTAAAAATACAAATTATAATAATAATGTGAACAATATTTTATTAGAAAAAAAAAAAAAGAATCATGTTATTAATTCGAAGGATAATGAAAATAAAAATAAAGAAATGGAAATAGAAAACTACAAAAATGAACTTCCTTTAAAAAATAACACGAATTATGAAAAAAAAAAATGGATGAAAAATTTTTGTTGGTTTTGCTCTTTACATTTGTTAGATGAAATTTTAGAAAAGGAAATTTATAAAGAAAAGATTCATGAAGATGTATATGAATTAATTTATGATGAAGATACATATTTTGACACTAGTTCCATGATGAGTATTCCTTATGAATTTGCAAGATTTATGCTATCTCAGATGGATGATAACGTTTTTCATAAAATAAAAATAAATAATTTAATCAAAGAAGAGAAAAATTTAATCAAAAAAATATGTAAAAATTGTACTTATAACAAAAAATATAATAAAATGAGTGATGTTTCAAGCTCGAATCATTCCTGTAGTAGTATAAGTGTAAAAAGTGATAATAGCTTAAATATAAATAAAAAAAAAGAGAGATTTAATAATTTAGATAATTTTAAATATTTAAATATTCATGAAAAATTAAATGATATTAATGGTATGTATAGTAATGATAATAAAAATAATACAAATAAAGAAAAAAAATTTTATGATAGTAATAATATTGGAAATAATAGTAGCAGTGATTTATTTTATAATAAAGTACAATCAAATTATTATATTAGTAATAGCAATATTTTTTTTGAAAATTTTTATTTAGAAAAAAAAAAAAAGTTGGAATATGCAAAAACTAATAAAGAAGATGTTATAAAAAGTGAAGATCATAATAATAATTTAATAAATAATGATCATAATAATAATAGCAGTAATTACTATAGATCTAAAATATTAAGTGAGCCAATTTTAATTTCTCATAATTTGATTAGAAAGAAAAAAGAAAATGTTAAAATGAAGAATAAAAAAAAAAACAGTTGCTATGAAGAATTACATAGGTGTGATAATATACCTTTTGATGAAAAAAATAAAAAAGAAAAAAATTTCATCCTAAATAAAAGTAATATATTTGAGGATTTAGTTCATAATCAATTTTTAAAAAGGAGTAATTCATTTCATATAAGTGTAAGAGAAAAAAATAAGTTTATGAATAAAATAAAAGACACTGATTGTTATGGAGAAAAAATTAGATTTAATAAATGTGATGAAAAAGAAGAATTAAACGATTTACATAAATTAAAATATATGCCAAATAGCGAATCATGCTGTGAAAATTTAAATAGGGACAATATGAACTCTGAAATTAAGGATGACTTAAATAATTATAATGAAAGAGTGTATAATAAGTATAAGAACAATTTAAATTATATAAAAAGATTTTACTATATAGATGAAACAAAAAAAAAGCCATTTCCATTATGCCTATATAATAATATAAGATGCTATAGTTATGTAAAACAGTGTGTTCGATGCTGCTGTTTTTTTAATTCTGAGTGCTGCCATTGTATTGAATGCAAGAAAAAATATCATATGAAATTAAAGAATCCTCATTATTTTATTTTTCAACATGGCTTAACTGCAAGTGTTAATGATTTTCAAAATATTGTGAATCCGTTATTAAAAAAATATCCTCATTTATTTATATATATAACTTATAGTAACCAGAGTCATACTTTTGAAGGTGTTGATGTTGGAACTGAAAGAATATGTACCGAATTAATTTGTCTATTTAAAATAATAAATGATAAAATAAACATTTCTATGATTGGTCACTCCTTAGGTGGTATATTAAATAGATCCGTTTTAATAAACCTATATAAAAAAAAAGTGTTTAAGAATAAAAAATTAATTAATTTTATAACATTCGCTTGTCCTCATATAGGTGTACATGAAAATTTGGCAGTTATGAAAATCTTATCAACATACTTAGGTGCTCATACTATTGACGATTTAAATAATAAAACTACTCTTTTATTAAGAATAGCCAATGTTAAAAGTATAAATGTTTTAAAAAAATTTGAAAATATTATTTTTTATGGGAATACACAATCCGATTGGTTAGTTGGTATTAGAACATCTTTGATTTTACCATATACTTTATTTAATGAGGAACTTATTTTATTTATTATAGAGCAAGCCAAAAATGTACCAGAAATACCAATCAATATTTTTTCAGTTGTTCATTTATATATGAGGAAAAAAAAATTACTTTTTTTTTATTTTTATCAAGATTTGAAAAATCCAAATTACCTATTAAATAAAAGAAAAGAACAAAGTAAATTTTTAGATCAAATGTTACAAACAATTATTTCCTCTAGTAAATTATTATCATATTCACAAAAAAAAAAATTCAATATTTTTATGAATTATTATAGTAACTCAGAAAAAAAAAAAGTAGAAGAAAAAAAAAATATGAATGGTACAGAAAATAATGGTATATCCACTGAAAAAAATATGTACAGTAAATGTGATAATGACGGATTATCTGATGAGAAGAATTGTAAAAGTATTATTATAAATGAGAATGAAAATAAATTCGAATCGGATAATTACTTTAAACGTAATTTATTAAGTAAAAGTGAAAAAAAAGTTTTGTCAGATAGCGCGAGCACTCAAATTACTCCTTTTTATCTTAAAACAAATTCTAGAATAAAACAAGTTAATAATTCACTTCGTAGAAATAGTTTTAGCGCATTTAATATTGTTTCTTCATTTGATAAAGATGGAGAGAATGAGAAAAATTATAAAAAATTGGAAGTTTTTAAATCACATACTTACGAAGAAATATTTTTGAAAAAAAAACAAGAAAAAATTCATTCAAATGTTAATGAAACAAATATGAATAAAAAATACATTGATCAATTAAACAAAAAAATATATTTCAAAAAGTACCTTAATATACCAGAAAATAATAAATCTTCAAACTTCTCAAACACTACCAAAAATTTTGAATTAATTAAGAATGGTAAAGTTCAAAATTTACATGAGAATTCATTTATGAAAGAGGAAAGCATAAAAGTTAAAAATGAAAATAAAGATTATGATTTCAACAATGATACTATTAATTATGATACTTCTAATAATGTCATCAATGATAATGATACTATCAATGATGATAACATTAACATTTATAATAATAAAGATAATAACATAAGTAATAATAATTACAATATTAATAATGGTACAAATAAGAGTGCTAATATTAATAATAGTAATTATAATAATAAGAATAACAATATAAATAATGATCATGTGAATAACAATAGTAACAATAATCATAGCAGTGATAATGGTATGAAAAAAAAATTTGGAGATTATAAATATTTTGAAAAGTTGTTTTTTGAATGCTTAAAAACAAAGATAATAAACGAAATAAAAACTCTAGACAATAACTTAAAAAAAAAAAAAAAAAAAAAGATCGAAAATAATAAATTATTTTCTTTACAGAACACTATTAAAATAATAAAAAATTATAGTTTTTTATATCCATCTAAGAATAATTTGAAAAATACGAAAGATTTTAATGATAAAAAGTATGAAGAAGAATCCAAATTTTTAGATGATAAATTGACATTTAATGATTCTAATAAAAAAGAAAAGAGGATGGATAAATATTCTAACGAGCAAGATGAAAGTGAACATGATTTAATTCATTTATGTGATGATAATAATGATGAATATAATTACATAAATGAATTCTTTTATTCTTCAGATGAAATGTATGAAAATGAATTAAAGAACTCTTCAAATAAAAATATATTAGTAAATAAAATGAAAAATAGTATAGAAAATATAAAGTGTGTAGAATGTAAAAAAGACATGACAATTAATACTATTACAAAAAAAAAATTAAAAAGAAGCAATTTGCTGAAGGGAATTACAAAAAGTGATAAAAAAAAATATAAACAAATATTATTTCATATTTACACAATTTCAAATGATCAATTAATTGAAAAATTTTTTAAAAATCCCGAGTTTTTGTATTATGAAGTTTTGTTTAATTGTTTAAATCAACTACCTATTCAGAGATATTCTATTTCTATACCTATTTATTCAAATGCTCACGTACAAATAATTGCACATCCTCGAATATGCTCAGAAGAAGCAGCTATTGTAAAACATTTCATTGAACATTTAATTCTTTAAAATTTAAAAAATCTGTTCAAATTTTTTGTTTATAAATATGAATATATTATATTAATTTCTTTTATATATTTTTGTTATTTTCATCAATAATCATTTTACATTGTTATTCTTCATTATTTTATTTCATATAATTTAATATTTTTAACTCAATGTTGTATATAAGAATTTTAAAAACATCTTTTTTTTTTTTTTTTTTTCTATTTAGATTATTATTTTTGAATACATCCATTTTCATTATTTTTACATATTGAAAATTTTGTGCATGAATAAATATCTATAACTTATTATATTATTAGTTGAAAATATATTTTCATTGTTTTACATTATATATTATGTGTTTTATATATATATATATATATAATATTTGTTTGTTTGTTTGTTTTTTTTTTTTTATTTTATGTGCTTTTGTCTCTTATATATTAATTTATTTATATCTGTATGTTCTAATTTCTATTAACTTTTTTTTTTATATTTTTGTGTAATTTATTTCTACTATATATATTTTTTATTTTTTATGCACTTCGATGCACTTATAAATTTAGTCAACTTCTAAAAATTTCAAGAAAATAAATATAATAATTTTCAATACCTTTTGTATATAATTTTATTTTTTTCCAAATTCTTATTCAGTACATCGGTGTAGGCATTAAATAACAAATTATAATAGTTCTAATTTCTTTACCTTATATAAATCCGTATTTTTTAAAAAGAAAAAAAATGTTCTCATTTTAAAATATATAATAAAATAATGTCTAATATAAGATTTTTTGTATGTGTTTTTCTAGTTCTATCTACGTTTATTGATAAAATAAAGCCATTAAAAGGTAAATAAAATTTCTTTATAAAAAATATACATAATATATCATTAATATTAGCAATATTATTTACTAATTTTTTTTTTTTTTTTTATGATAAAAAAAAAAATTTATGTTTTTAGAAAATGATGGAAGGTTAAATGTTTCTTTTTTTCAAGCATCACCACAAAACCACTCAAAGGACCAAGAAGATGACAATTCTCAAAAAGACAAACAAATAAATAATCCAATTATTAATCCTATACCTTTAAGGGAAGGAAGTAGTGATGCTTTGAATGATAACGAGGAATATAATAAAAATAAAAATATAGATGAAAATGTTCATACTAAAGAACAGAACCAATACTGGGATAACCATGGTGAAGGGCATGATACTGGACAGAATGTTGAGCATAACATCGATCAGGGAAAAAATACCTCCGACCAAGGAGATGAACAACATAAAGATACATCTAACCAAATTGGAGATACTCCTAGTCATACAAATGAAGAGCATAAACGTGAAACTGGTCATGGTGAAGGCACTACTAGTCAAAGAAATGAAGAGCATAAACATGAAACTGGTCAAGGTGAAGACACTACTAGTCAAAGAGATGAAGAACATAAAAATGAAACTACTCAAGGTGAAGATACTACTAGTCAAAGAGATGAAGAACATAAAAATGAAACTACTCAAGGTGAAGATGCTTCCAATCAAAGAAATGAAGAACATAAAAATGAAACTGGTCAAGGTGAAGATACTGCTTATCATAGAGATGAAGAGCATAAAGATGAAACTACTCAAGGTGAAGATACTACTAGTCAAAAAAATGAACAAAATAAAAATGAAACTACTCAAGGTGAAGATGCTTCCAATCAAAGAAATGAAGAACATAAAAATGAAACTGGTCAAGGCGAAGATACTGCTTATCATAGAGATGAAGAGCATAAAGATGTAACTACTCAAGGTGAGAATACTTTTGATTACAGAAATGAACAGCATAAAAATGAAACTACTCAAGGTGAAGATACTGCTTATCATAGAGATGAAGAGCATAAAGATGTAACTACTCAAGGTGAGAATACTTTTGATTACAGAAATGAACAGCATAAAAATGAAACTACTCAAGGTGAGAATACTTTTGATTACAGAAATGAACAGCATAAAAATGAAACTACTCAAGGTGAAGATACTGCTTATCATAGAGATGAAGAGCATAAAGATGTAACGACTCAAGGTGAAGATACTTTTGGTTACAGAAATGAACAGCATAAAGATGTAACTACTCAAGGTGAAGATACTACTGAGCAAAGAAACGATTATTATAATTTTAACACTGATGATAATAACTATGGTAATAATGAAAAATCGACTCAAAATAATAATCAGCAAGAAAATACTGAAAATTTAAGTAACACATCAAGTGATGAATCTCATAATGGATACAAAGATAATGAAGAAAATGGGAAAACGTCTTCTGAAGATAGTTCTGTAGAAAATAATATGCATAAATTCAGTGGGGCTACAAATCTACATGAAAATAGAGATGCTTTAAAACTAGACATGTTTAACGGAAAAGGTATATATACTTCAATAAAGGAACGAACCATTCTGGAAATAATGAAATGTGCCGGAGATGGGATAACAGGACTTTTGAGATTAAAAGAAAATGATGACGCTAAACATATATTTGAAGAAGCACTAACCAAATTAAACATTAATGAAGAGCAACTTATTTCAAATCCAAATTTGTTATCACTTGAGATGTATGATAAAATTTTATCAGCAATGTTTAAAATTATGACGGATATGTCTTTTTATGAAAATCCAAATTTTTATGAATCTATGGGTATTAATAAATCCATTTTAAATCAATCACTAAAAGAATTAAAAATTAAGATGTTAAAAAAAATTGGAGTAATTTATAGTAAATTACCTCCAATAATAAAAGAGAAAAAACAATCTTGTCCTGTCAAAGATTATATTGTAAGTATTACATCTAGAGAATTAGCACAACGAATGGCTATTATGTTCACAAAATGGCTATCTCCTGAAGAATATGGATCTGTAATAGATACTTCAAATAATATAGAATTAAATGTTTTATGTGCAGGTTCTTCCATTTTGATACAACAACATAAATACTTTCAAAATGTTTTAGGTTTTGAATTAGATTATGATCATGCATATTTAAGTTTGATTGATGAATTATTAGCAATAGATAAAAGGTATAATAAAAATGAAGAATATTCTAAGATGTTAAAAAAAATAAAAAAGTCTAAGGTTTTTAATTACTGTACAAAAATTATGAGAATAGGAGGAAATGTTTCATCAGTTCCTTTTAAACATGAAAATGTAAAGAAGCCAAGTACTTCATTAGTTGGATCTTTGGGTAACTTAGTGAAGGCTCATATGAATACTTATTATACTGCTATAGCAAAAAGAATAAATTCTTATTATCATTATATTGAAAAAAAAAACAAAAAGTCAAGTCATTTAAAAATTATTTCAGTTTGTACTCTTTTACATTTAACAGATATATTATATAAATGTTCGGATGAACATACGAAGAATGTATTCGATTTTTTCAATTTGCAATTAAATACATTAAATATAGAAGGGAAAAAAATATTAAAACCACTTGTTGAATTAGATTTCTTAAATAATGAAAAATATTCTCATCTTAAGGAAATTTGTGAACCTACCAATAATGTAGTTGGTAAAGTCATATAAATATAAAATATATAATTTTTTTTCTTTTTAATATGTTGCTTATATTTAAGAAAAAAAAAAAAAAAAAAAAAAAAAATGTTGGAATTAATATATATGAAAAACATTTTATATAGTTTGTACATTTATATATGACATATGTTAAATATGAATTTTTTTTTAGATGAAACATTAGCCAAGTTATTAGTACTACTATCAACTGAATCACATGATTTATTAGCAAATGAGCTTGAGAAAAAAGGTCTAGATGAAGATTATGTAAAAGAGGAAATAAAAAATATAAATGAAGATGGTGAGAATGTTAATGAACAAGGTGAAGAAGAAGTAGAAAATCTTGTTTTTGAGGATTTATAAAATTACATTCTAGAAATATAAGGCATAATATTTTATATTATGCGTAAAGGAGTAAATAATTATATTAAATGTGTATTACTTAAAAAAAAAAAAAATGATAAGTGCTATTTATTATTTTTTTTTTTTTTTAAAGGATGTATTTCTCTATTTGATCTTTAAGATATCTATAAAATTTTCTCGTTTTTAAAAATTATATGTTTATAAATTAAATTTTATCTTTTCTTATATGCATATGTAGTAATTCTAATGAAAATAATGCAGTTTTACAATGAAATCAATGATTGTAATAAAATTTAAATATCTTTTTTATTTTAACCAGAAATGATTTATTTTATTGAAGTTATTTTAATATTCTCTGTTTAAATTTTATTTTCTTTTTAGTTTTTAAAATTTATATTTTAATGTTATATGTGTTATAATTTTTACAAATTAAATTTTTTTTTTGTCTTTTTTTTTGTTTTGAATAAAAACATTTATAAATTATCACAATAAATACTTTTTACATATTTAAGAAACTTGTTAGATTTAAATATTTTCATATTTCTTTTTCTTAATAATTCTTTTTATACTTCTCTTTCTTCATGTGTTTTCCCTTAATAAATTAAAAAGATGTTAGCATTAATGCAAAACGATTTATCAAGAATTTTGTTTAAAAAGAAAGTTGGACAAAAAAAAAAAAAAAAAAAAAAAAAAAAAAACATAAAGCTACTTCAATCTAAAGAAAAAAAAAAATGATTATAATTATATAAAAAAAATAATAAAATAAAGTGTAATAAATTACTTCACTAAAAAATATAAATTCTTGTTAACAAAAAAGTAATTTTTTATATAAAAAATAAAAATTTCAAATATAATTTTAAAGAAAATCAAAAGAAATACAAAAAATTATAAAATGAAAATTATATATAATTTAAGTAGTATTAAAAAGTACATTAATGATTTTCTTCTTTTGATATAAAATTATGACTAGTTAAAAATGAATCTTCTAAATCAATGTTATTAATATTCATGTATCTATCATTTAATGGATATAAAGAATCTTTAAAAATGTTAAAAAAGAAGGAACAAAAAAAAAAAAAAAAAAAAAATGAATAAACAGATAAACATATAAAAATATGTGATTATTCTTCTAATAGAAATGAAAATAAAATTTGTAATATTATTCTTTAATATATAAATTACTTGTTTGATACAAATTTTCAGGATTAAAAGGAAAAAACCATTTCCATTTGAATTCACCAAAAACCTTTTATTAATTTTTTTTTTAAAATAATATTCATATTTATCTTTTATTTTTTTTTATATTTTTTTGTTATTTTTTTTTTTTTTTAATTTTACCATTTTCCAATTATTATATATGCCTAAATCATAAGGATTCTATAAAAATATACAAATGAAAAAAAAATTAATAAAAAATTCTATAAATTCAATTTTTTTTTTTTTTTTCTATGCACATACTATATCATTATATGAAGACTCTATTACTGTAACGTTACGAGAAATAAAGTATATATATTGACAATTCATCTAAAAAAAAAAAAAAAAAAAGGAAAAGAAATATGAAAATAATTAAGCTAAAACAATTATTTATTTATTTTTTTAAATTGAAAAAATAGAAATTTGGTATTACAAATAGCAATGCTAAAAACAATGTTAATGCCGCACAAATAGCTAAAAATATTTATTAAAAAATGTAAATATATTATTAATGATATAAATAAAATTTAAAAATTGTTTGAATTTTTACTAATTAAAAGAGTGGCATGATTTACATTTACTAAAACCTAATTAAAAAAGAAAGATTAATTAATATACAAGTTCAATATTAGCATAAAATAAAAGGATAAAATATAAGACATATAACATATTGGAAAAAAAAAAAAAAAAAAAAAAAAAAAAAAA